AACTTGATCTCCAGTTAAATTTTCCTGGAGAGCTTCGGCCTCGCCGGGAGACCGCTGAGCTCAAGAGGCAAACAGTCAAGTTGAAACTCACGTTCTTAGATGCGAGCGAAGAGAAACACGCTGGCGCCCGCCCGTGTCCCACTGACAGCCGCGCCGTCGCTCTCAAGGCGGCCTGGGAGCCCGTCAGCTGCGGCGCCCAGCCGGAGCCTGCTGTCGGGGGAGTGCAGGGGGGCACCTGGTAAAACCCATATTTCCAGAGACTTCCAAAGGCGCCAGCCGCAGCTTGAAGGACTTGGCATGTGGATGGCGCCAGGCTCCTGGCCACGCGCCACTGAGGTCAGGTGCCAGCCGGCCCGGGCACGTGCCACACTCCTCGGGCGGGCTCCAGGCACCTGGCCTGGGGGCCCCCCCAGGAGGCAGGAGGGGGCATACAGAAGGCAGCCTGTCCGAAGCATGGGGAGGTGGATGGGGTGCCCGTTTTGGCAAGGGGGAGGGCGGGGCGTGAGCGTGGCGGGGCAGACTCCTGACCCCACTGGGCCGAGGCTGTGCGGGCAGGTATGGCTTTCAGCCTCCTGGGGCTTGTGAGGAGCGTGGTTTGGGGTGCACGCCTGCGCGGGTTGGAGACGCGGCCTCTGTTTCTGGTGGCACAGGGCCTGGTGGAACTGGGCGAAGGGCCGTGTCCCCAGGGACTTTCTGTGATGGTTTCGTGTGGTCGGGAGGACAGGGTGGCCTGCGGGCACACCCAGGGCTACTTTACACTTCCCGGAGATTTCAGTTTCAGGAGCTGTTGAGTAAGCAGGAATATTTACTTGCCATAATTTTGGGTCACCAAGTGGGTGGCGAGAGGCTAGGACTGGGCCAGGAGGGGGTGACTCACTGCAGGCCCCGTGCTCCCCGAGCCTTGTTGTCTCCAGGGCCGGGCTGGTAGGCTACAAGGGGCACCTCTGCAACCTGGCAGCCCCCACCCACACCCCCGGCCCCCGGCCCCGGGGTCTCCAGATGGTGGTCAGAGAGCTGTTCCACATCTCAGTTACGGCCTGAAACTGTAGCACAAGTAGCCCCTTAGCAGCCGCCACAGCCCAAGCCATCAGCCGGGAGGCGCCTCAACTGGAGGTTTTCCCGTAGGCTTTGCTTGTCGTAGCTGATGCATCAGAAGCGCTCGGAAGAGCTCACGTTGCGGGATCGTCTGCTCGGACTGAGGAAGCACAGTCACGCTTAGACCTCGCTCGTGCCCGTGAGCTGCGGGCGTGGGGTGAGAAGGCAGGGGCGCTGCTGGACAGGCTGCTGTCTCTGCCTGCCCGTCCAGGGGGCCCAGAGCTGGGCCGGGCGGGACGCAGCAGGACGTCACGTGCAGGAGGCTGAGTGGGCGGCCCCGCGCCGGGTGCTGGCGGGGTGGGTGGGGGGAGGCCCCTCGCCCACTAGGAGGCTGCCCAAGGGAGAGGCGTGGGGCCCGCGACCACGTCCCTGGGCCTGCTAGCGCAGAGGCTGCTTGCTGAGCGCTTGGGTTGATGGTGTCGCCCCGTTCCGCAGGCCGTGCGGGCCTGTGGGTCTCTTTTTAGTGCCCTCAGAGTCACACTGTGGCCAGTGACAGGCCGTGGCGCCAGGTGCCCCTGGAGGGTGCAACGTCCTTTCCTGATGCAGCAAGGGGTGCCAGGGCCAGTTTGATCATGTCTTTTATTCCAAAGGTGGAGTTATTGCTCTCCTGGTCCCTTCCAGTGGGGGCGCTCACAGACAGCCGCTCCCCGCGTGCCCTTCGCGCTGCTCCTGGCCAGCTGGGTGGGGGCATAGGCCAAGGAGGCCATTGCTAGAACTTGGGGGCAGAGCCAGACCAGAGACCCGTACATGGCTGTGCCACCACTGCCACGCAGCCCATCTCGTCCTTTCCAGCACCACTTCAGCCCTTAACTGTCTCCTCCCGCTTCTAGTGGCTCTGTGTGTCGCTTTGACAGCTGTTCTGGCATCACTCTGTTGACAGCAACACTGGGTGGGGTGACCACGGCTGTGTGCGGTGCCTGCCTCAGACAGCTTTGCCAGGGCCTCCCCGGGGGCCAAGGGGCCGAGGCTCAGGCTGTCACTATCAGCGCTTGCAGCACGAGTTCCATCCCCAGCCAGGGCGCAGCAGGCCTCTCCTGTCTCCCTGCTGCTCCCCTCAGCAGTGGATTTCAGTAGATCTGCCTGGTCTGTTCCCCGCTCTGTCTCTGGTGAATCCTCTCACCTCCCGCCTCTGGCCTGTACCCCAGTTCTTCTGTACAAAAATAAATATCTAAAAAAAGACAGCTTTGCGGGCCTCCCTGATGGCACAGGCGGTTGAGCGCCGCTCTGTGAAGCTGCCCGCAGCCTCTGCAGCGTGGGTTTGATCCCGACCGGCCGGCGAGAATCCCACATGGCGCGCAGACCTCTCCTGCCGCCCGCTGCTCCCCTCAGCAGTGTATTTCATCACTCTGCCTGTTCTGCTCCCCGCTCTGGCTCTGGTGAATCCTCTCACCCTCCCCCGCATCTGGCCTGTACCCCAACTCTCGTGTAAGTAAATAAATCTTGAAAAAATAAAAATAAAATAAAAAAAAACCCAGCTTTACCAGCCTCGGGTGTCTGTGTGTGTTCCTGCCTGCTAGGCCCCCCCGCACACCCTGGGCTGCCCCCGCTGCTGGGACCTGGCTGGGATTACTGTCCAGCGTCCGGTTACCTGAGTGGCCTTGGCGCCTGTCCTTGTCTGTTTTTTCATTAAAAGTCTAGATGGTTTATAGATTTGACCGAATCTACATGGATCACCTAACGCAGCTGTTGTTTTATTGAGCTGTGAGGCAGCGTCGCCGGCCGCGCGGCTTACCCCCGCAAAGCGTGTGGTTCCGTGGGTCCTCTCTGCCTCTTCCCCGCGCCTCCCCCCGCCCTGGTGTCTCCCTCTCGCGGGCCTCCGTGGGGACATAAACGCCCCTCGATCCTGAGGCGCGGCCAGGCGTAGTGTAGGGCCCGTCGCTGACTGGGGCCCCGTCCCTGGAGTCTCCTTGTCCCTTTACTCCCCCACCTCAGAGCTCTCAGGATGGTTGTTAACGGGCCTTTTTCTTTATTCTTCCTTTTTTTTTTTAACGACTTATTTATTTATTTTATACAAGAACCAGGGTCCAGGCCAGATGCACGGGAGGGTGAGAGGAGTCGCCAGAGACAGAGCAGGCAGGCTGACGAAATACACCGCTGAGGGGCGCAGCGGGGAGACAGGAGGGGTCTGTGCGCCGTGGGGCTAGTAGCTCCCTGGCTGGGGATGGAACTGGTGCGGCAGTGGCTGTGGACAGCCTCATAGACCGAGACTCACCCCTGCGCCCCCAGGGAGGCCCAGGTGTTCCTAGTGAATATTATACCGGCTGTTGGCTTGTGAGCCCCCCGCGCGCGCGCACACACACACGCACGCAGCCTTAGTTGTTGTAATTTTGGGTCCTGTTTGTTCCGCTCTCAGGTGCGCTAGGTGTGATGTTAGATTGCTTGTTTGGGGTTTTCTTCCGGCGTGAGCCTGTGCTGCCATTATCTTCCAGCGCCGCCTCCCTGCGCCCCGGGTTCCGGTCGCTCGTGTCATTTTCGTAAACTATTTTTATTTATTTATTTTTTAAAAAAAATAATTTTATTTATTTATTTATTTATACAAGCACTGGGTACAGTCAGAAGCGCGGGAGGGTGAGAGAATTCACCAGAGCCAGAGCGGGGAGCAGAGCAGGCAGAAGGACCGAAGGACACTGCTGAGGGGAGCAGCGGGCGGCAGGAGAGGTCTGCGCGCCATGTGGGACCCTCCTCCGGTGGCCTGAGAGCAGCCGGGGATCAAACCAGTGCTGCAGAGGCTGCAGGCAGCTTCGCAAGCCAGCGCTCAACCACTACGCCACCGGGGAGGCCCTCGTAAACTATTTTTAATTTCGACTCCCGACACCCCGGTCCCCCAGCTGCTGCCACGCGGCCGTGGTTTAGCCCCTGCGTTCGCGGGTGATTTAGCGCCAGGGCTGGGGGGGGGGGGACGACTCAGCATGGTTTTCATCTGCGTGGCTTTAGGACACGTGCCGTGGCTGCCGAGGCGTGGGCCATTCCTGGGAAGCGTCTCGTGGGCGCCTGAGGAAAGCGCGCGGCGCGGCTTCTGGGTGTGCGTCTGTGGACGCCTGCTGGGCACGCCCGCCCCCGGGGCCCCTCCGTGCCTGTGCTCGAGGCTGCAGTTTTCTGGCTGCGCGGGACCCTGGCTCAGCCGGCACCCCCTTGTTGCACCACCGTGTCGACCCCCGCGAGCTCTACCGGGTGGGCGGGCGGGTGGCGGGGTCCCGGCGGCCCCGGGGCTCTTGCCGGTGAGTCTCGTCGCAGCGGAAGGGTCGCTGCTGCTTTGGGCCCCTCAGCCCCCCGCGTCTGTCCAGGGGTTCAGGCCTTTCCTTCGAAGGTGATGGCCGAGCCGTGTTGGTGACGTTTTGTTGTGTGTTTGGTTTCTGCGGGGCGGGTGGCCGTGTGCGGCCTGGCCTGCGCTCCCGGGCCGCGCTGCTCCCCCTCCCGCCTCCTCGTCGGTGCCGGCTGGGCGCCTGCTCTGGGGGGGCCCGGCCTGGCGAGCAGCCTGGCTCCCGGGGTAGACGAAGGTGGTCGGGCCTCTGCGGCCGTGGCTCGCCGCCTTGCCCGTGGGGCGCAGGAGGCGCGCCTGGGGGTGGCCGCCTGGAGAGTGGCTCGGGCCTGCGAGGCGGGCACAGCTGGGCCTGGGGCTGCACCGCAGGAGGGTGCGGGGCCGTGGGCGCCGTCTGGGTCAAGGCCCCCCCCACCCCCGTGCCCCCTTGCGCGGGGCTGGGATTTGCCCGGCGCCCACTGTGGGCAGGGGCCACCCAGATGGTGGTTAGGCCACGCGGCCTGGAGGGCCGGCGAGGGCGGCCGCGCCCAGTTGGTGGCGGGCAGGGAGGGCAGGGACCTGAGTGGGGAAGGGGCTGGGGGGCCGCTGCCGGCGCTTCGGGTGGTGAGCGGCCAGGCGTGTGACCCCTCTCCCTGTGTCCCGCCAGTATGACGCGGTGCCCATCCAGCCCAGCGTGGTGTTATGCTCCTGCCCGTCCCCATCCATGGTGAGGACCCAGACTGAGCCCGGCACGGCCCCTGGCGCTCCCGGCGGAGGGAGGCAGGGCCCCGCCATGGACGGCACGGCGGCCGAGTCCCGGCCCGGCGGCGCCTCCCTGCAGCACGCCGCGCAGCCGCCACTGCAGCCTCGGAAGAAACGGCCCGAAGATTTCAAATTCGGGAAGATTCTTGGCGAAGGCTCTTTTTCCACAGTGAGTATTCTGCGGCCGCGGCCCGTCGCGCGTGTTTCCCTGGGAAGGCTGACTTGCTGGGGCTCCGCGCGGAAGGCGGGTGCCAAGTGCTGTTCTCCCTCTCCGCCCCTCCCGCCGAGGGTGCCTGGGGGCCCGGCCGGCCCCGGAGCCTCTGAGTCAGGGCTTTATGGGGGGGGGGGGGGCGGCGATGATCCGCTCTCAGCGTGTTCCCCCGGCGTCCTTACAGCTGCGTGACGTTGGCTCCCCTGCGCTTTTCCTGTCCGTGCTGGCAGCTTTGGTTGAAGGTGTGAAGGCATTACGCCCTCGCGGGCAGCCCTTTGCCTCCGTGGCCGGGTCCAGGCTCATGGGCTCCAGGTCCTTTCAGGGGAGCAGCTGCCGGACGCTGCCGCTCGCCAGGCCTGGCAGAGGGGCCGCTCCCGTCCTCGGCCTGCCTGCTTTGGGCTTTTGTCCCAACTAAAAAGTGAGGCCCTTCTGTGGGCCACCCTCCCCATGCGCCCTGCATTCCATGGTGGGCCCAAGTAGGCCCCATCTGCCCTGGCACCATGCTCCCGCCATGGCACTGGCCACAGGCCCCAGGAGCCCTTGCCAGGGCCTGGGCAGCGCAGCCGAGCCCCTCCGGGTGTGTCTGTAGCCTGCAGCCTGGCCGAGCCTCTCCGGGTGTGTCTGTCTTGTAGCATGCAGCCCAGTGGCACCCAGTGCTGCTGGGCAGAGCCCCCACTCTCACACGTGGAGGGACATCAGCTGGTGACCTGGAGGGCATGACCTGGAGGGCACGTGTGGGCCTTGGCCTCTGGGAGAGGGCGTGCCTATGCCACCCTGCGCGGAGCCGCGGTGCTGGCCTCACAGGCACGCCTCCGGGGCGCTGGCTGCACGAGCATCCTCTCCTGCGCCCCAAGGCCCCGGTGCCTGCGAGCCGCCCTCAAGGCCTATGCCTCCGGAAGGGTCTCTGCGCCCCTCCCACTCGAGCCCCATCACCCGGCCTTGCTGCCCTCGCTCTGCAGGGGCTTCCTGCAGGCTTTCCCGCTCACTGCCGGGGGGCCTCAGGGGCCTGTACAGGGCTGTGCCTCCCAGCTAGCGCGGCGCGCCCACCTGTGGCCCCTGCTTCCTGGCCCCTGCTCTGCTTCCGTGATGCCGCAGGCACCGCGCACCGCTTTCCCTGCCGCTTGGGAGTTGGTGAGGGGCTTGTCATGTGGAAAGTGTAGGGTGATGCCCCTGGCCCTCTGTCCCAAGTGCAGCTGGCGTGGGGACCCCGCATGCCTTGGAGTGGCGCCGCCGGGGCATGACCCTCCTGTGCAGGCCAGACCCCAGGGCGCTCTCCCAGGCCCCGAGAGCTTGGGTGTCCTGTGCGTGAGAACGTGGCCCTCCCGGTGTCTGCGGGCGGCATCCAGTGTGTGGTGATGGCTGTTTGGAGGAGCCCCAGACCAGGGCAGCCCATGGGGCACGCGCCGGGAGGGCATCTGTGGGGAGGGGGTCGTGGCCCCGGCCCCGGGGCGGGGTGACTGCTGCTGCTCTCTGCAGCAGGGGCCCGCTCGCAGATTCCAAGAGCGCCGCCGGGGCCCGTCAGCACATGGACTGGGACTGGTCGGCGACACGCGTCACGCTCGGCAGCACGGCCCGGCCGCTGCGCCGTCATCTGGTGTCTGGCGCTTCCCAGGGTGGCCGTCTGCGTGCAGGGCGCGCGGTGGGCTGGAGACCCGGTTATACTGAGTATTTCTCCTTCCTGTCCCCCTTTCTTTCCAAACCAGGTTGTCCTGGCCCGAGAGCTGGCGACCTCCAGAGAATACGCTAGTAAGTACTCGCCCCGCGCTGTGCGGCCAAGGGTGGGGGACGCGGCCTGGGCTGTCCGGCGCCTGGGGGTCGCTGCGCTGTTTTCAGGGGTGAAGACGCTGTGGGCTTAGGGCCGTGAGCCGGGCGTTTCGTGAGCTGCTCGCCCGCGTGCTCGTCACCCGGGCCAGGGGCGGTGACAGGCTTCTCTCCATCGTAAGTTAAAATCCTAGAGAAACGGCACATTATCAAAGAGAACAAGGCCCCGTATGTAACCAGGGAGAGAGACGTCATGTCGCGCCTGGACCACCCCTTCTTCGTCAGGCTGTACTTCACCTTCCAGGATGACGAGAAGCTTTGTATCCTTCCGTGCGCGCCCTGTGTGTCGCCGCAGTGGCCCCTCTCCTTGAAACGCAATCCCTTTGCCTTGGGGACCCCCAGCAAGTTCCGGGTCTCCGGTGCGCCGATGTGAGCCTGCTGCGCGGCGTCACGGCCATCTCTGAGGGGTTTTCACTGAGGAGAATCACATGTAATGGGTGAGATCTTAGCCCTGTGGTCGTGCGCCTCGGCGCTGGGGCCTCCCGTCCTGCCTTGGCCGGCCTCCTGGGGCCCGTGCGCAGATACAGGAGGGGCGTGCCAGGAGGAGGCCGGGACCCCTAGGTGGCGGGGGCAGGCACCTCCATGTAGCCTTTGGCCCAGGGGTGTGGGGTGGGCCAGGCAGCCACAGCTCCCAGGCTTGGGCCCAGCGACAAGTGCAGTGCGAACCAGGGCCAGAGCCCCTCTCCGTGGACCTGGGACACTGGCCTCAGTCATGGTCTCTCCCCAGGGCCTCACCGCACGGCCTCGCGCTCTCCAGCCTGCAGTCTGCTTCTCCGGCAGAGGCCTCAGGCCCCTCACTTCTCAGCCAAGCCAGGAGCGTTGTCTGTTGTCTTTGTCACCTCATCTAGGGGCCCGAGCAGAGGGCAGGTGGCCACTTTCTGTGTCCTTTGCTTTTGAGTGGTCCCTGCTGAGTGCCAGGTAGTGGGGAGGTGGTGTCTGTGAGGGTGGGCTCTGCCCTTGGGGCACTTACCTCTCTGGAGACGCCAGCCGCATGGTCGGCACCTGCTTGGTGGGCTGGGGGGCCAGGCTGTCCAGCTTGGTGATCTGAAGGTCCACTTTGTTCGGCATCAGCTCAGTGTCCCTCAGGAGGAGCACCTGAGCCAGCTCCTTGCGCCTCAGCGGCCCACCAGCAGGGCAGATGGTCCTCTGGCCGCTGCTCCCGCTGCGCATCATTCACTGAACTGGGAGAGGGAGGGTGGCGTCCAGGTGGCTCTGGGTCCATGGTGGCGCTATCACTGCACTGCAAGAGACAGACAGGGGCCCGGTGGGGGCTGCGGCCTTGGCTCGGACCCTTCGCTGCCATGGAGCTCTGAGCAGAGCTGGGTGGCACGTGGGTCATGGGCTGGCGGGACGGAGGCTCGGGGGTCACCAGGGGCTGAGCCTGGGTCAAGCCCTGCAGAGATTGCAGGAGACTGGGCAGGGTGCAGGCACAGGCCGCAGGACCAGATGACTTCTGACCGAGGTGCTGGCTGCCGGGGGGCTGGGTCTCTGTACTGTGGTGATGCTGGCAGTTGGATGAGGGAGGAGGGCTGAGAGGGGTGCGGTCAGTACACAGTGCGTTTGGTGGTGGAGGGGAGCAGGGGCCAGCCCGGGCGCCACCAGAGCAGGCATGCGTGACAGCTCCTGCTCTGTCATGCGTGGGGGCGAGGTGGCGCGGGGCGAGGGTGCTGCTGTCTTGGCACCAGGGGTGGGCATGGCAGCGCAGACGCAAGGCCAGGAGCTCCGGCCTGTGCTCTCTGCTGCTCTTGGGCTTTGAGACGATTTCACAGTAGCCGGAGAGGGGCTCCGGGGTCCCTTGTCTCCTTTCTAGGAGCGGGGTGGGAGTTTAGGGAGCCCCGTGTGTGCTCCTTCTCCCCTCAGCTGTAGTTTACACTCGGCGAGGGGAGCAGTTCCTCCAGCCTCTTCAGGGCTGACCCACCCCAGTTCTGACACGGCAGAGCCCGACTTCCCCTAGCAGCCTGCAAGCACGTGGTCCGATCCCTGAGCTAGTGGCCTCCGCCCCCTGGAGGCTCAGCCTGACCAGACAAGCCAGGCAGCGAGGGCACTGACCCTCAACCGGGATGGAGGCGGGGGGGGGGAGGGGCTCAGGGATGGCTGTCCCCGCACGTCCCTGTGTGTCCTTCTTGCAGCACGGGGCCAGGAGTGGCCACCAGACTTCAGGGGTCTGGACACCATCCTTAGCTTTGTGACTGGTCCGTGGCTTGCCCTCTCTGGCCAGTGCTGCTGCAGCGTCTGTTTCCCCTTAGGGCCAGAACACAGCTTCCTCCCCCCTGGCCTGGGGCACTGGTGGTGCCAAGGGAGGTGGGGACATTCTCGGGCACGAAAGGGGCTAAGCTGGCCCACACGCCATGGCTGAGCAATGTGTGTAGTCGAAGAGCCGTGGGCCTCAGCATCTGTCCTGTCGAACCGCTGGTCACCTGGCTCCTCCACCGAGCAGAGAACTAGAAAGTGTCCCTCGGGCAGGAAACAGGAACTGGGGGAGCGGTCAGATAAGGGGCAAAACCCACAAAGCCGGAAGAGGCGCCGGGCCGGGCCTCCCACGTGGCTGCAGGCGCCCGGAGACGGCGCTTCTCACTGCTGAGGCTCGGAGGCGGTTCCGGGGTGCCTGCACAGCAGCACTGCGCTCCTACTGGGGTTGGGCGGGCCAGAGTGTGCAGGCTGGCAAAGGGCCCCTGACACCCACACCCCAGGAAGGTGCAGAGCAGGGCCCCCCAGGAAGGGATTCTGTCCTTGCTGGAGGTGAGGCTGGTTTGTGCTCCAGGCTCCTGGTAAGCACAGTTGGGGCTGGTCGGGGCAGTGGGGCAGCTGCACGGTGTCCCTCCTGGCTTGTCCTGACTGCCCTGGGCTTCGGTGCCCCACTTGGCGGGACTGACGGTGTCTGGCAAACAGAAGCCATGCGGCCCTCGGGTTGGCCATCAGGCGTGACCCCTCCCTGCCCTCAGGGTGCTGCTCCGGTGGGGAAGGACCGGTCAGTGCCCTGCTGCCAGGGGAAGCACTGGGCCTGTCAGAGTCCACGCATAGGCCCGTGTCTGCTGCTGCAGGAGGCCGCACTTGGGTGAGGGCTGTGCTCTGTGCCGCCTCGAACGGTTCCAAGAGGATGGCCAGGAATTGTGGGGACCTGCCGCGGGCCCCTCGGCCGGTGTAGACTGAGTCACGGCGCTGAGGAAGCACTTTCTCTCCCCAAAGCGGCCACTGTGTGTAGTTGCAAAGGAGTGTCGCTTGCGGAGCCTGCGCCTGGCCTGATGGAGCGCACCTGGCTGTGCGGCTGCCGGGCTGGCGGCTCGGCACCCTCCACCCGCTTGGTGGGGTCTGGCTGCCGCAGGCCCGTCCCCCGGGGGTGGCGGTCTCCGACCACGGCACCTTCAGGTGTTAGTGGTACGGAAAGTTCCCGCGGGCTGGTGAGGCCAGGTCCTGGAAGATGACCTTTGTGTCCTTCCTTAATGAAGCAATATGCAGATTTTGGCCTTAGTTACGCCAAAAATGGAGAATTACTTAAGTACATCCGCAAAATCGGCTCCTTTGACGAGACGTGCACGCGCTTCTACACGGCCGAGATGGTGTCGGCGCTGGAGTACCTGCACGGCAGGGGCATCATCCACAGGTGCGGCGCGCGCGGGTCCGCTGGAGACGCCGGGGCCGGAGCCGGGGCCTGCTGCGCTCGCCTCGCTCGCCTCCTGCGCTGTCTGGGCCGCGGCCGCTCCTCGCTGGCAGCTCTGGTGTGCGCTGTTGCTGCCTCATTGTCCGGCACATTCTGACACAGCCCAGTCGAGATGTTCTTGCTGACGCTTTCTGGGTCAGACGAGGTGCCGACCGAGGAGCTGCTGGGCTGTGGGCATCGGGGCGCTCGGGGCTCTGCTTTCGGAGGACGGGAGCGCGCGGCCGTGCTGCTGCCCTGCCGGCTCGCCCCGACTGTGAGGAGCTGTGTTTCCACAGGGACCTGAAGCCGGAGAACATCTTGCTGAATGAGGACATGCACATCCAGATCACAGACTTCGGGACCGCGAAGGTGCTGTCCCCGGAGAGCAAGCAAGGTGAGGCTTCAGCGCCACGGCCACGCAGGGCTTGTCCCCCCGTAGCGCCTTGGAAATGTGTTGAGGTGCCTGGAGTTCCTACTCGGGCCCCTGTCTGCATGTCCCGCCACTGTAGAGGGTGGCCAGCGCTCCCCTGAGGCCGGCTCCCAGTGGGCAGGGAGGGGCGCCCTGGGTCCCAGGAGGCGGGGTGGGTGCTGTGGCTCTGGCGCGCTCTGCATAGTTGTTGCAGGCCCCCAGGGCCTTGGTGGCTCGTCCTCCCAGAAGATTCAGGGCGCACATTTGTTCCTGGTCTCCAGGTCTTCCCGTGGGTCTGGGGGCTGTAACGAGGTGCATCTTCCCAGGGTCCCAGAGCCGCTGGGGCTGCCTCCCTGTCTCGTGTGCGTGGCGCTGGGCGCACCCGCTAGGCTGCCATCACCAAGTGAATGGGGCTGGCGCCCACCTGCTGGCCAAGTGCGTGTCTATCCCCGCAGACCCTCCTGCCGCCGGGCCCGGTGCTCTGGCGGCTCGGTCACCTGAGGATTGCTGCTGACAGTCCCACGGGCTGGCAGAGGGCGGGGGTTTTGGCTTGCCCCCTTCCGCTGCTGACCCGAGGGAGTCACAGCCAGGGTGGGAAGAGCGGCTGGTGACCTAGAGACCGTTTCACATATGGAGTAGATGGCAGATGAAGTCTGTGCGCGAGATTGGGAAAGCTGTCGGCCACTGTGCGTTGCTTTATTATCTGTGCATACAAGAGCTGGGGTACAGGCCAGCGATGCGGGGGGGTGAGAGGATCCACCAGAGCCAGAGCAGGGAGCAGAACAGGCAGAAGGACCGAAATACACTGCTGAGGGGAGCAGCGGGCGGCAGGAGAGGTCTGCGCGCCATGTGGGGCCCTCGCCGGCCGGCGGGGATCAAACCTGCCCTGCAGAGGCTCTGGGCAGCTTCACAGCTTGGTGCTCAACCACCTGCGCCACCAGGGAGGCCTCTTCCTGGTATTTTAAAACTCAGGGTTCTTGCCAAGATTCTCTTGGTGAGCGCTTTAGTCTCTGCAGGCACGCTGCGCCCCAGAGGGTCTGGAGATTCTCTGAGGAGCAAACCACCGCTGTTTGGGACTGAGACGGGCCTTGCAGTCAGGGCGAGCTTGCACTTCTGCACCAGGTTGGTCCTAGTGCCTCCTGCCCGCAGGCGCGCCCAGCCCAGGAGCCCCCCCTGCACCAAGAGGTGGCACTGGGCTTCCTGGGCCCCTTCCAGCCGCGTCCTGCTGGCCGCCGTGGCCCCTGGCGGGAAGCATGTCCGCAACAGGCGAGGCAGGTGGGCCGCTGTGCCCCATTGCTGGCCTCCTGCTGAGATAAGGCCCGTCTGCTCGTCCTTGCTCCTCAGGCTGGCATTTCACAAGGTGCTCCTGTTGCCCTGTAACCATTTGGAAAATGCAAGAACTCAATGCAATGGTGAATAGTGAAATAAGCTGTTTTTTTTTTCTTTCTGGCCCCGGGGGCTATCGGTCCTTACAGCATCGGCCAGGAGAACGGCTGGTACGCGTAGGCGCGGTGGCTTTTCTTCTTTAGAGGGAAAGGGAAGACGTGTTTGATCATGTGACTGATTCATTTCGTGCTTGCTCTCGTTTTGTCTGAAGCAGTTTGGCGTCTGACCTTTGTCCCGCGTTAGCTTTCCCCACTTCTTCTGCAGACTTTGAGAAGCAAAGTGTTGGTGGGCACCAGGGCAGGCCCCTCAGCTGGGGTGGAGCTAGCGCCACCCTCCCAGGGGGCGAGGTGGTCCTCCTTACCAGACCTCACCCCACGGGTCCTCCTTGAGAAGGGCTGCTGTTGGGTCTGTGGGGTGGGGGAGAGCAGACAGGGCGGCTCTGGAGGCTTCTGGGACTGAGGGGGACTTTGTGGCACAGTGGACATGTGACTCCTCACCTTGCTCAGGTGTGCACAGATGTCTCCAGGAAGAGCGTAGCTGTCACTCGATGTCAGCCCCTTGTCTGCCTGTGCCTCTGCCCTTCTGCATCCTGAGGTTCAGACTGGGGTTTGTGGCTGGAAATGTGTGTCCTCAGCTCCGTGCAGGTCTTTCTGTTGGGGAGGTGAGAGGGGGCCTTCGAAGGCTCCTCTGTGGCACCTACTGGCAGGCCCCTCCCACGTGCTGTGGATGGAGGCCCTCTGTGCACTCCCGGCATTCTGGCACGCTCAGCGACACCTGCTCTGCACCCTCTCTGTGCCCCCTGCACACATACCCCAGGACTCCCTTTCAAGATGGACTTTGCTTTGCCACCAGAGGGGAGCTGGCATGAAGAGGAGAGTCCCTGACACCACCACCCCTCTCCCCACCCCCACCGCACACACATCTCTCAGCATCCAGAGTATCTGCTCTGGCCTTTTCAGTGTGGGCACTTCTTGGATCATAGCATGGGGCCTGGGGTTTATGTTTTGTTTTGTTTTTTAAAGATTTGTTTATTTTTATATAAGAACTGGGGTACAGGCTAGAGGTGTGGGGGGTGAGAGGATTCACTAGAGACAGAGTGGGGAGCAGAACAGGCAGACGGACCGAAGTACACTGCTGAGGGGAGCAGTGGGGAGACAGGACAAGAGAGGTCTGCCGCGCCATGCGGGAATCTCCCTGGCCAGCCGGGATTGAACCCACGCCGCAGAGGCTGCGGACAGCTTCATAGCGCTGCGCTCAACCTGCTGCGCCACCAGGGAGGCCCATATATTTTTTTTTTTTAAGATTTATTTATGTATAAGAGCTGGGGTACAGGCCAGAGGTGTCGGGGGGTGAGAGGACTCACCAGAGACAGAGTGGGAAGCAGAACAGGCAGATTGACTGAGACACACTGCTGAGGGGAGCAGCGAGGAGACGGGAGGTCTGCTGCGCCCTGTGGGATGCTCCCTGGCCGGCCGGGGATGGAACTCGTGCTGCAGAGGCTGTGGCCAGCTTCATAGGCTGCGTCTTAAGCCCTTGCGCCACCAGGGAGGCCCGGTTTATGTTTTAGAAAAGATTTCCGATCATCATAATCCTGCATCCATCGGTTTTTGGTGGTGGTTTACTTGAGTCAGGATTCAAATAAAAGTTCCCCATGTTGAGCTCAGCTAGTGTGTCTCATTCCTTTTAGGCCATGTTCCTTCTCCCCTAGAGCCTGGAGAAAACCAGGCCTCCTGTCTACGGAGCTTGTGGGTGCATCTCTGTGGGGTCATGTAACGTGTCCCGCCTCTTTGTGTGTCCTGTGAGCTAGTGGTCAGGCCTGGCTGCTTGACCTCGTTCGGGTTCATTGCCGCGCCCCAGAGGCTGGTGGCGATGTGCTTCTCACCGGGGAGCAGCGAGCTCACCTCTGTGACGTCAGCAGCTCTTTATAACCCCCAGAGTGCAGTGCGCTTACTGCCCCCCCACACACACACCGCGCACGAGAGCTGGGTGCACAGGCGCGGGCCCTGACCGAGGTAGGCTGGCTTGGATGCAGTGCCAACAGGCGGGAGAGCCGCTCAGCAGACTGCGCCGGAGTGCGTGGTGCCGCCACGATGAGGGGAGAGGCGCCCCCGGACAGGAGGACATTTTGCAATCCAGGGTCTGATGAGGACTCTGCTGTCTCCCTTGAAGAACGGGCCGGGGTCTCCGCAGCCATCGCTCCGAGGCAGTCACTCACTGGTGACAATGCAGGGGAAGGCCTCAGCATGTTGGGAAGATGTGGGGGGCTCCACAGTGAGGTGCTGCTTCCCATCACAGGCCTGCTCGCGCAGGAAGACCGGATGGCGTGGCCGGGCCATGGGGAGACGACCCTCCCGGTGGGAATGGCAGGTGGTGCAGCCACCTGGGAAGACGTCTGGCGGGTCTGCGCGGCTAGAGGTGGCCCCGGCTCTTCTTCCCTGGCTGGCGCCTCGCGTTTGGTCTTCTTGCGGGCTGCCCCGCGCCCGCCCAGCTCTGAACAGAGGCCCCGGCGGCGGGCCTTGCGCTCCACCCCGGGCTGGGCGCCGCCTGCCGCCCGAGGCCCCGGGGCCGGGCGGTGACTGTGCTGAGGCTGTCCTGCCTCCGGCGAGGAGCGGGAGCCCCGGCGCTGGTCCTGTGCAGGGGCCCGCGCTGCGGGGCGGACCCCGGTGTCTCCCCTTCCCTCTGCCTCGCCTGCCCCGGGCCTGGCTTCTGCCACCACGTCGCCACCGCGCGGCCCGCTCTGGCCCGCGCCCCCCGGGCCTTCCCGCGGCCCGGGCCCCCTGGGTGGGTCAGCGGCGCCGGCCAGCGCGGTTCTGAGCCCGGTCTCCGCAGGCCTTCGCCCCTGGCCGCCCGCCCCCGGAGGAGCCGCGGGGCCCGGAGAGCCTCGCTCCCTCGCCCGGGGCGGGTCTGGCCGTGCTGCCCGCCGAGGGGACCCCGCGGGCCGCGGACGCCCCGAGAGGCTCCTCGGGCCAAAACGAGGGTCTTGCGCGGGGAGGGGTGGCCGCCCCGAGGAGGGCGCCTCGGCGGGGACGGGCCGCTCCGTCCGGAGCCCGCGGGCGCCGCTCCCTGGCGCCGCCCTGTGGTGGGCTCCGCCGCGGCCCGCCGGCCCCGCCCCCGCGCGCGGCCCTGCCCTTCCGGCCGGAGGCCCCGCCCCTCCGGCCGGGCCAGGCTGCCGCGTTGTCGGGGCGGTGGCGGCCGCCACGTCCCCGCAGCCCGCGCGGCACTGCGTCGTGCGTCACGCGTCGTGCGTCGTGCGTCGTGGGGCGGTCGCCCTCCTGGGCGCGCCGCCCGGGCCTCGTTGACCGGCCCTGCGCCGCCTCCGCCTGGGCGCGGCCGCCGCGCTGTCAGACCCCGGGTCCTGGCGCGCCGACCGACCGTCTGCCCGGGAACCTGCATTCCCAGAGCCGCTTGACGGTGGCGCTTCAGGGCGCAGACCGCGGGCTCACGGCGAGTGCCGGGCGGAGCCGACCCACGGGGCGCGCTCAGGGGCCCAGGCCGTACCGGCCCTGTCCTTGGCCTCGTGCCGGACGCGGGCAGGCCCGGGTGCGGACGCTCGTTGGAATCTGCTCCCCCAGAAGCCCCGCGCGCCCTGCGCCCTGCGGCAGCCCTGCGTCCCTTGCCGCGCTCGCCCCCTCTCCCCCGTGCCGATTGCGGGCGCGCCGAGGCTGGCACGCAGGAGTGGGCTTGGCTTGGGCCCCGGGCTGCTTTTCCTCTGGTGACTCGCCTCCGTGTTCTCGGCGGTCTCGGTCAGGGCCCTGGCGGGACGAGGACCCGGGGATGTCTTCCTGGGAAAGCTCTGGGCCAGCGCGGCGGCCCCAGGGCACCTGTCCGGAGGGCCACCTGGGCTGGAGCAGGGTGGCGCTCCTGCGCCTCCCTCCCATGCCCCTGCTCACCCAGGGCCACCTCTGGAGACGGCCCCTCATCCTCATCTGCGCTTCCTCCCTCCTGGGAGTGCCCCAGGCCCCGGGGTGCCACTGGGCATGGCAGTGGCCCTGGGTTCCTTACACCACCTTCAGGGCTGGCATGATTTTCAGCTGGAGATCGTAAGGAGAGCATGGGGCTCTCACGTCTTACCCCCGCAAGCTTAACTGCCCAGTTATTCTGACTCAGGCTGGGCTGAGGTGTCTGGGATAGAACTTGGGTCATTGGGGGAGAGAAGTCTGCTCCCTGGATCTGGACCCTGGTTGTGGAAAAATAGAGAAAGAAAGATCTTTTTTTAAAAAAATGTTTATTTATTTATTTATACAAGCACTGGGCACAGTCAGAAGCACGGGAGGGTGAGAGAATTCACCAGAGCCAGAGCGGGGAGCAGAACAGACAGACTAACGAAGCACACTGCTGAGGGGAGCAGCGGGCAGCAGGAGAGGTCTGTGCGCCATGTGGGACCCTCGCCCGCGGCCGGGGATCGAGCCGGCGCTGCAGAGGCTGCGGGCAGCTTCGCAGCCCTGCGCTCAACCGCTGCGCCCCCGGGGAGGCCCAGGAAGACCTTTTCTGTTGTCCTCCACCCTCTCTTCTGGATGTTCCACACGTGTGCCGCCTCTTAGGACAGTGCTGCCCTGGAGAGGGGTTTTCTGGGAGTTTGGGGCTGGGGTGTCTGGGGCTGTTGCGGGTGTTAGAACCGCCTGTGTAGAGTTGATGTGGAGGGCCTGGCGGCCTCTCAGCTGGGAGTGCTGGTCTACAGGAGAGAGACCCTGGAGTGATGTCCGCTTCATCCTATTGAGGATGTCGAGGATGGCCTGGCCTGAGGAGGGCCAGGCAGGTAAAAGGCGAAATGCGATCCAACAGCGAGTCTGTCTCCAAGCCTGGGAAGTGGAGGGCGGCTGGGCTGGGGCCTCTGGTGTTCCGGAGCCGTGTGGCCTGCAGGGCAGGTTGTGCAGGGGTTGGCCAGGGGCTTATGGGAGGTGGGGCAGCGTTCACCCTGCCTTAGAGAAGTGGCAGGCCTCAGCCGCGGTTGGCGGTCACACTGGTGTCTGGACCCCTGTCTGCTTGCAGGGGGGCTGAGAGCTGTGGTGCCACCCGCCATACAGAGGACCTGGGGTGCCTCTGGAGGTTTGGGGAGGCCGGCTGGCTTGTGTTGAGGGCTGCGCCTGGTGTTGGTTCTGCTTTCTGGTGCTGGTCGGGAGCAGGATTGCGGATCCGCAGTGGGAGGCAGCCCAAGTCTTTGTCCTCGCCACCCCCCAGCTGTTGGGTCCAAGGAGGCTCTGCCCACCCTGCCTACGGGGGTCCTGCCTGCCCCCGCGTTCATGCAGTGCTGGCCACCCGCCTGGGCTATCAGGTTCCGCAGTCCTGCTGTGACAGTTGATGCGGCTCCAGGCCCTGACCACTTCAGCCCGAATGCTGAGCCAGCTCTTCGAGGGGGGCTGTGAGGGGGTCTGATGGGCAGTGATCTTGAGCCAGCCCTGGCAGCATCGGCCCTTGGGGTGCACAGTCTGATTTGCCACATAAACCTGACGTCTTGCATTTGGGCGGGGCTGTACTGCATGCGGGCTGACTCCAAGTGACCACCTCTTCTCCTGTCTCCCCAGCCAGGGCCAACTCCTTCGTGGGCACGGCCCAGTACGTCTCTCCAGAGCTGCTCACAGAGAAGTCGGCCTGTAAGAGGTAAGCAGCTTTCTTTTGATCCCGGCATGCCTCTCCTCTAAAGCAGTGTATTTGTCAGCGAGATGCAGTTAGGAGGGGCCTCTGGTGCCTTTCATGCTCAGCATTTTTGGCAGGAACCATGTGTCTTGCCTCTTAACCGGAATCTTTGCTCCGATAACCTGTGAGTTGCTTTATTACATGTTCTGTTTCCGGGGGACGCCTGTGGTCTTGTGCTTTGAGATGGATCTTGCTCCTTTGGACAACTTCTCGGGGGGAAGAGTAGACTAGGGGTCTGCCGCATTGACCCAGTTTCCCCGTGTCCCAGCGCCCAGGGATCCTGGACCCTCCTTGGCTAGTGGGCGCAGAGTGTCGGGCTGGGAAGAAGCTGGCTGGCCTGGCGCGCAGGCCGGTGGGGCGGGTGTCTGCAGGGGCCTGGCCCGCAGCGCACTCAGACCTGGATCGGCCTGTTGGGAGCCTGGGGGTGAAGAGGGAAGTGCAGAAGGGTGCAGAGGACAGTGGCCAGAGAGAGGAGAAGGCATGGCTGGCAGGCCAAGTGGGCAGGGGCGAAAAGGGAATTGGGGGAGCCTGTGCGTTACACCCCCCCCGCCCCCCTGCCCCATGCAGGAGCAGGCAGTGCTGTGGGCAGGCCCTCCCTGGAGCCGCGCGTTGCCGGCACCGGCGACTGGTCAGCGCGGCGTGGGAGGGAGGGCCCCCGTGCGCCTCCTGCTCGGAATGGGGGGAGTAGGTCCAGACTGGCTGTCCGTGTGTTGAGCGGTCTGTGGGGGTGAGTGCGCATCACTATGTATCTTATGCTTCTTAATTCTTGGTTGTGGAGCTTATTCGAGATAGCCGAGTTTTGTCCCTCTGGTTCTAAAGCTTGCTCACGTCCCCACACACGTAGCCTCTCGGGTCACGGATTGCTGTGTGTTTCCAGTGATTGCTTTTCTACATTTACGTAATTTTTACACAACCGGAGCCCTCTACAGGGACCCGTTTTGCATTTGCCCCTGTGACGGCGTGAGGCTCCCGCACAGCATGCTCACGCCTTCGTCCCGCTGCCCCTCTGTCGTGGGGCGCGGAGGCCTTTGTTCTCAGCTCAGGGTGGCATCTGCATCCCGTGCTGGCAGCGAGGCCACCCGCCTAGCCAGCAGGGACAGGGCCTGCCCAGGCGCCGTCTCGGGTCGCGGGGTGGCCGACCTGTGTCACCCAAGCATTTGAGAAGTCCTTGGTTCCTCTGCTTTCCAGACTTCACGCTGGCTTCCCCCTTTGTTTTCCATCGTGTTAAAAAGGCATTTAAAATGTTGACGATGCCTGTGGATGGTAAAACATTCAAATATGCATAGGGCCTGAAAGCTGTTTCTTGGGTACCCCACCCTCCCCCTCTTTTTTGTCCCCTTTTCCCCTGTGTAACTCCCTGCTTTCTCCAGAATGGACCATGGGGAGACCGGGGGACCCACACTCGGACCGAGCATAGACTCGCTGGGCCTCGCCCCACCACACGCCCCGCTTGCGCCCTGGCCCTTGCTGGCGCCAGGCTGTGGCCTCCCCCAGACGCAGACCGCAGCCAGCCCCGAGAGGCTCTGGCAGTGGGGAGCGGTGCCTCGATGCTCTTGGGTCTGAGCTGAGTCCGGCCTGTCCTGAGCTGGTGCATCCGGAGGAGCCAGGCGGGGAGGCTAGGAGAGGCCCTGCCCTGCTGGTTTATTCTGGAAATACGCCTGTCTGAAAATTGGGAGCTGCAGTGTTTTCCTTTTAAAATGTGTGATTAAAGTGTTTCTGAGGGAGGGCGGGGCTCGGGAAGGAGCGGGCTCCGTGGCACCCGGGGTGCCGCTGCTCAGCCACGCTTGAGTCTGTCTGGGGTAAACAGCAATGGCCTGCTGTGGTGGGGCACCCCTCTGCGGGCTACCCCACCCACGTGCGCCCCCCCCGCCCCCGCCCCAGGCCGAGGTCTGAGGAAGCTGGTAGCCTTCGCGGGAGGTGGGAGAGCGGGGAGGGGACCCCTGGCCTGGCCCAGCAGTCCCGACTGTACGTGCCCCCCCACCCCTTCCCGGGTGACGGGAGGCTGAAGAGGGGCGGTTGAAACAGACTGAGCGGAGGCGGACGCGCCTGTCGCCGAGTCCACAAGTGTCCTCTCTGTGTTTTCCGCTCTGCAGCTCAGACCTGTGGGCCCTCGGCTGCATCATCTACCAGCTCGTGGCGGGACTGCCGCCCTTCCGGGCAGGGTGAGCGCCGCTGTGCACATGGGCAGCCGGGCTGGCAGGGCGGGAGGGCTTTGGGGTCCCGTCCCAGCTGCATGCGGCGGTGGCTTGTGTCGAGTGACGGTTTTCTTATTTTACAGAAACGAGTATCTTATATTTCAGAAGATCATTAAGTTGGAATATGACTTTCCGGAAAAATTCTTCCCTAAGGCCAGAGACCTCGTGGAAAAGCTCCTGGTGAATATTTTGAATTTTCTTCAGGTGGGAGGATCCCATCGCTGTGCCCTGCACCCCCAGCCGTCAGGCACCTTCGGGTCTCTGGAGTGACGGTGATTGTGGGTACATTCACTGTGAGAGCCGCCCCCCTCCAGGCTGCTCACCCGCGGCCCGAGCGGCCGCGCTCCCATGCCCTCTGTACTGCGCACCAGCCTGCTGCGGCCTTGGCCCATGGCTGCTGGGCCTGGCCGTGCGGGTGGCCGGCTGGCTGCAGTGAGCCTGTGGGGGCAGCGCTAGAGCCACTGCCGAGGCCGTGGGCATAGCGCAGGTGACACAGCAGAGGCCCACAGGTGGCTGCCAGAGCTGTGTCCCGGGCACTCTGCCCCCGCTCCAGCCCCTTGGCGGGCTCCGTGCCCCTGGGCTGGGTGGGGCTGCAGCCAGCCCTTTTCCCCGCACCTTGTGCGTCATGCACATTTCATCCGTGGGGTCCTTCGGATAGGGCGCTGCTGGGGTGGTGGGCGTGTCCCTCCCGCGCTCACAGCTTGCTGGCCAGATGGTCCTTCCTGCGCCTGGATGGAGGCTCTTCGCGCTCTCCTCCAGGCGTGGTCAGCTCCTTGCTGCCCATCGAATGTGGAGGTGGTAATTCCCGTTCGCCTGTGCGGTGGCGGGGGCAGAGACTGGGGAGAAGGACCCAAGGGTCCCCCCCAGGCTCTGGCCTGACTTGGGTGTGCCCCGGTGCTTTCCTGTCCCCGGGAGCAGCTGAGTTGAGAAGAGCTATTCGCAAAGACTCTTCTGGATCAGAATTTTTCAACCTGACACTGCCTTGTTTCAACTTAATTTCAGGTTTTAGATGCTACAAAGAGATTAGGCTGTGAAGAAATGGGCGGGTACAGTCCTCTGAAGGCCCATCCCTTCTTTGAGTCCATTACATGGGAGAATCTGCACCACCAGACGCCCCCGAAGCTCACGGCATACTTACCCGCCATGTCCGAAGACGACGAGGACTGCTACGGGAATGTGAGCCGGGCGGCTGTGGGGCAGGGCGGGGGTATGTGTGTGTACACACGTACGGGCCTGTCCTGCTCGAGGTGGGGCTGCTGTGTGTTCAGCACCCCAGGCTGGGTGCCAGGTGGTGGCTGGCGGTGGGGCTGCCTGCCCGGTGCCCACCCCCCCTATGCTGGCTGGAGAGCAGCTCCTTGTTTCCTGGGGCTGTCTTTGGCCCATGGGGGTTGGACAGGAGCCAGTGAATGCAGCGCCTGTCTGCCCGTCCCCTTGGGCTCTGCGCCCCCTTCGTGAGGGGTTGACGAGGTGTCCCGGAGGGCAGCCAGCATCCTCTTGAGCGCAGAGGCACCACCCTTCTAAGGGAGATGGGTGAAGAGGCTCAGGCAGGGTGGGAGTGGCGCGAGTGCTGTGGGGCTGTGGCCTTGCAGCAGAGTGGGGGGGTTGGTTCACTGCACCCTGGAGGGGAGTGTGGACTCCACTCCTTCCCCCATCCCCCATCCCCCATCCCATGTCACTGCTGGACCTGCACAGGTGCAGCTGAGGGGGCCAGGGTAGAGCAGACAGGGTGCCTCTAGAAAGTCCGGTGGGGCACAGTGCAGTGGCACCCCTGGACAGGAGCCCTGAACACGGGGGCTGTGGTCTGAGCCTCCAGCTGCGTTGGAGGGTACGGGGAGGATGGGCCTGACTTTGACATGTCTGCAGGCGTCACCTTGGCCAGGCCTGAGCCCTGGTCACCCCGTGTAGGGGTGGGGCTGACGGGGCAGCCCCCCACCCACTGCCTTTATAGGCTTGTTGAGACACGGGAGAGCACTGGGGGTGGCAGCCAGGACCCTCTGCCGGCACGGGGAGCTTGGGAAGACGCGCTCCTCTCCTTCGCTTAGTGGGGCCTCCCTCATGCACCCTGCCGGGCTCCCCGCCCAGTGCGCACTTTGTGATGAGCCAGTTTTCCCCGTCGAAGTGGGTGCACCGCTGCCTCCAGGGCAGCAGTCGAGTGTGGCTGTGCCAGGCTGCATGAAGTTTTGCTGAGATTGAAGGGAGTAGTATTTTTTTTTTTTAAGAGAAATCGTTTATTTCTTTTTTTAAAAAGAGATTTATTTATTTATTTATTTATTTACACAAGCACTGGGCACAGTCAGAAGCGCGGGAGGGTGAGAGAATTCACCAGAGCCAGAGCGGGGAGCAGAGCAGGCAGAAGGACCGAAGGACACTGCTGAGGGGAGCAGCGGGCGGCAGGAGAGGTCTGCGCGCCATGTGGGACCCTCGCCGGCGGCCGGGATCGAACCGGCGCTGCAGAGGCCGCGGGCAGCTTCGCAACCCAGCGCTCAACCGCTGCGCCACCGGGAGGCCCCTGAAGGGAGTAGTATTTTGAAAACTGAGTGTAGTTAGTCTCGTTGGAATACGGGGTGACTGCCAGACTCAAAACATGGGCCCGCTGGGCTGAAGGAAGGGTGTGCTGACCTCCCAGGCCCTCCACTGAGCCTCTTGGCATCTGGCCTGGGCAGAGCGGGGCCTTGGGTCATCAGGCCCAGGCCTCCCCCTGGTGGTACCACCTCCTGGGGTGAGCGTCATGGTGAGCCCTCTCCCGGGCCAGCTCTTCTGAGGGGTGCCCAGGATGCCCCCACGTGCAGGAGAGGCAGGGGCAGGCCTCATTGGAGCTCGCTGCCCTGGGCCCCCTCGCCTCACGCCCCTCTCTCTCCGCAGTACGACAACCTCCTGAGCCAGTTTGGCTGCATGCAGGTGTCCTCCTCCTCCCACTCCCTGTCTGCCGCAGACCCGGGCCCGCCCCCCAGGGCCGGCAGCAACATCGAGCAGTACATCCACGACCTGGACAGCAATTCTTTTGAACTGGACTTGCAGTTTTCCGAGGAGGAGAAGCGGTTGTTGCTGGAGAAGCAGGCCAGTGGGAACCCTTGGTGAGAACCCATTGGCGCAGTGGGGCTCCCGTGGGGGGGCATGGTGTGGGGGGCACACGGTGCTGCCTACCCACGCGGTTTTGACCCACAGACTGGGCTCGTGTGGGTTTGCGTTTTCACCCCTGTTAGGCATCTTCTTGGACCTTTGTGTTCTTTGACTTTGTCTCCTGGCATGATTTTTTTTCTTTGAGTCTTGAGAGCCAGGGGCTGGGGGTGTATTTCTGCTGTTCCCTGCCGTGCTCCGTGGGCAGCGCTCTGCTCTGCGTGTGTCGTGGGAGGCGCAGCGCCTCATGGTCGCCTCTGCTCTTCCGCTTGGTCTCCGCTGGGCCACGGAGGGAGCCGCTCCCTCCAGCCTGCGCTTGGTGGACTCGCCTGGCTGGGGAGACATGGCACGTCACAGGGTGCGTGAGCTGGAGGAAGATGGCGGGGCAGGGCGTGAGGCTGGCTGGGTGGAGCACGCCCAGGACCTGAGGCGTGGAGGAGGGGTGGGCACGGCACTTCCTGGAGCTGGCTGCTGCACGACATCCCTGGCGGCTGTGACCAGAGCTTTGACCAGGGCTCTGCTGGCCCGGCTCAGACAGGGCAGGGATTCCCGGGCCCTGCCTGTACATCTCCAAGAAGTCCTCTTGCTGGGCCAGCAGCCTGTGGTTCTGGGCCGAACTGAGCAGCTGGGGTGGGGCAGACTGCAGACCCTGCAAGCTGCTTGCTCTTTGGGGTCCTTTTCTTTCCCTCCACTTTGGAAGCTGACAGTTGAGAGCTGGAGGCACCTGACGGGTCAGCGGTCCTCATCCCCTTGAACTGAACAGCAGGTTTTGCTGGTCTCTGTCCTGCGGGACAGTGATTCTAGTTACGTGGCCCACGGGCCAGAGTCACCCCATCATGATTATGACCAGGTGATAAGGGGCAGTAAACCGGCCAGAGACATGCCCGAATGGTTTACTGGTCACTGTCTGAGCTCTTCACCCGTGCGCATAATTGCAGGTTCAGAGAATAACCTGACCACTCAGGTTCAGAGAATAACAATAACGGGATTTATTTAACAAACCAGGGAAACAGTCACCAGGGTCACAAAAGACTGTTTACTTCACCTGAAGCCATGTCCAGTATTTTTTCTTTTTAAGATTTGTATATTTATTTATACAAGCACTGGGTACAGTCAGAAGCGCGGGAGGGTGAAAGGATTCACCAGAGCCAGAGCGGGGAGCAGAACAGGCAGAAGGACCGAAGTACACTGCTGAGGGGAGCAGCGGGCGGCAGGAGAGGTCTGCGCGCCATGTGGGACCCTCGCCGGTGGCCAGGGATCGAACCCCCGCTGCAGAGGCTAGGGGCAGCTTTGCAGCCCAGCGCTCAACCGTTGCGCCACCGGGGAGGCCCTTATTTATTTTTTTATACAAGAACTGGGGTACAGGCCAGATGCGTGGGAGGGTGAGAGGCTTCACCGGAGACAGAGCGGGGAGCAGAACAGGCAGACTGGCTGAAATACACTGCTGAGGGGAGCAGCGGGCAAGACAGGAGAGGTCTGCCGCACTATGTGGGACCCAGTCTGGCCGGCCGGGATTGAACCGGTGCTACAGAGGCTGTGGACAGCTTCACAGCGCTGCGCTCAACCGCCTTCGCCACCAGGGAGGCCCTGTTCATTGTTTTTTAACTGCATATTTGAAAGTGTCTGTTTTCATTTTTCATATGAAAATGTCAGCGGATCTAGCCCTGACAGGAGAAGCTCTCTGGGTCTCCCATGAAGCTGAGGCGTGTGAACAGTGCCCGGCACTGCAGATCTGAGGACCAGCTTGTTGTGGCTGCCGGTCTTCATCCTTAAGGGTCATTTCTAGAGCCTGGGGCGGGCGGAGGAGAGAGACCTGGGTGTGGAGTGGTGGGGGGGTGGCCACTTTCACAGTATTTTGTGTGAGGTGCCCGCCAGGCGCTCCCCCCACGCTGACTCTGAGGTAGAAATCAGGAAGACTCCTTTAGGATCTTACACTTGTCAAAGTGCGTCATGTCACTAGCAGCTGCACTGATGGGCCAGTTGCCTGCATGACCGCCCCACCTGCCCTTGCCGGGCCCCATCTGTCGGGTCACTTGGGGGCTGGCTTGCTGCGCCCCCACCTCCGCCCAGTGCCACCGTGCTCTGCCATCGGCCGGCCGGGTCATCCCTCCCTCAGGACCAAGGGCCCCTCGGCGTGTGTGCTGGCCGCCCTCCCCACCAGCCGCCCTCATGGCAAGGCCGTGGGCCCCGTGCTGAGTCCCACACCTGTGGCGCGTGCCCACATGCCAGTGCCCCCCAGGAGGACACGCGGGAGGTGGGTTCATTTATCTGGGAGCAGGACACTGGGGTTTCCGGTTGGCATCTTGCTTCGTTTTTGGTTGTGGTTTAAGACCTTTTCTGTCACTTTGCCAGTGCCTCTCGCGGGGTTGTGTTTGCTGGAAGCCTCCTCCAGCTTGTCTTCTCGGCTTATTTTGTTCTCCTGCTTGGTTTTGGTGTCTTGCTTGTTTGTCAGGCCTGAAAGGAACCCCCTTTCCTGAGACCTGGTCGCTGCGCCCTTCTCCCCTTCCTTCGAGTTCTCTCGAGTTTCTCCCCGTCTGCCCAGGAGCACGATGCCACAGGTGGTTCTGCTGGCCAGGCAGGCTCTGTGCTCGAGCGGCTCTCTGCCCTGAAGGGCCTGGCTGTGCGCGCCGCCCCCAGCCTGCGCTCCAGTCAGAGTCTGCCCCGTGCCAGTCTCCTCCGAGTTGCTGATCTGGGGTCCTTCACACAGGGGCTCCCAGTCACAGGGACAGGGGTGGGGAGAGGCCCTGCTGGTGGTGGTGTCTTCCCGGCCGGCAGGCCCCCTTTTGTCACCCTGGAAGGCCCCTTGACGACTCTCCGTCTGTTTCAAGGCGTCTGGCTGTCTTTAGACTCCAGAGTCCACTGCCACGCTTCTCCTCACACCAGGCACAGCCTTTCAGGAGCATCCGGCTGTCACAGCTCACGTGCTGCTCACCGTTTATTTGGGGCCAGGTCCTCAGTTCTGAGGTATGGGTCAGGAAGCCCCGTAGGCTCTGGGCGGCATCGGCTGGGTCAGGCCAGGCCGGCGGAGTGCGGGGTGCCCAGCCCCGGCTCCGAGGAGAGCACGGGACGCCCATGATACAGCAGTGGCCACTGAGGGAACAGTGGCCCGGAATGCTCTGTTTCTGCGTTGGCCCTCACATTCCCCGGCCTCCCGGGACGCAGACATGCTGCCAGCCGCGGCCCAGAGGTGAAGACGCAGAACCGCCTGGCTGGTCTCCTGGGAACCGGCGCGAGTCGGGCTCGTGACCACTGTCCGCCAAAGCTGTGTTTGGCACCGGCTGCGCCAGCTGCTCCTTGTGTGCATTGCAGCACTGGTTTCCGGCGCGGGCCTCAGGGCTTTGTGTTCCTAACATGCTCCGGGCTCTGAGCGCTACCCTGGCGCCTGCGTGGCGCTCACCTCTGGACAGCCTGGGTCACGGCTGCGCCTCGCCCCAGGGGCCGTGTGGCCCCTTCTTCCACCGTGCGAGGCGGCAGGCGGCCTGTCCCGGACCCGGACCGGGCGCAGGTGGAGGCGCCGGGGCGGCGGCTCGTCTGTGTGGGGCGGGCCGGCTCAGGCGGGGTGGGCAGGCGTCGTCGGGAAGTTCATTCGGAAGGCAGGCGGATGGAGCAGCCTATCTTTGACTCTCCGTTTCTCTTTTTCTAGGCACCAGTTTGTAGAAAACAACTTAATACTGAAGATGGGCCCAGTAGACAAGCGGAAGGTGAGCGCCCTCCTGCCCGCCTGGGTCTTGACGCCCCTTGAGCCGTGACCGCTGAGGGGCTGCAGCCTCCGGGGAGCGTTCTGAGCCCGCACGTGGCCCCGGCCGTCTGACCCGTGGGGTGGTTCCTGCCGCACACGAGCTGGCTCCGAACCGGCTTCAGAGTTTTGTTGAGTTGGGGCAACTCCGGCACCCAGCAGGAGCCCGCTGCCCCGCTGGGGGGTTTCGAGAGGTGCTCTGTGGTGTTGTATGAATTGATTGTGGCATCAAAGCTGTTGGCGTCCACTCCCTCTGCTGGCTGGGCTCCTGCTCCCCTTCTGGCCCGCTCAGCCTCACCTACTCCAGTGTCCTCCATGATGGGCTGCGGGAAGGGGGTGAAGGGCCCGTGCCTGGCACAGGTCTGGCCAGCGTGGCAAGAGGGCACGAGAAGCAGGGGCCTGGCTGTCGCTGGGGGCGGTGGGTAGTCACTGAGCAGCCGGACTGCCGCGGGGTGGGCCTGCTGTCTCTCACGGGGCCGCCCAGGAGAGGTGCCCAGAGAGGCGATGGGGTGGGGGGGGGGCGTTGCTCGCCAGTGGGCAGACCTGGCCGGCAGCGCTGGCTCCGCTTGCTGTGCCTGAGTGACTGGGTGGGGATGGCTGCAGCCCCCGTGCCACTTCGTGCTGGGCCTCGGCCGGCTGGGTCTGCATGACTGTGGTTTTCCCGTCAGGGCTTATTTGCACGGCGGCGACAGCTGCTGCTCACGGAAGGGCCTCACCTGTACTACGTGGATCCTGTCAACAGAGTCCTGAAGGGCGAGATCCCGTGGTCGCAGGAGCTCCGGCCAGAGGCCAAGAATTTTAAGACCTTCTTTGTCCACACGGTGAGGGTGTCCCCAGGGGTTCTGCGTGCAGGGCAGCTGGAGGCCCAAGCGTCCCAGTGCCCTTTCCCCAGTGCCAGGGCCCAAGTTGGGCTGGGAGCCCCCTGTGCGTGTTTCTCAACTGAGGGTGACCCACAGGGTCCGTGGGGCGTCCCTGCATGCTGCACGTGTGCGGCGTGAACAGCCTCCCTGCTCGTGGCGGCTGGTGGTGCTGCAGTGGCCGCGCACGCGCGCACCGGACGGTTTCTCTCTGGCGGGCTTCTGGGGGCGCTGAAGGGCTTCTGTCTCCGCAGCCCAACAGGACGTATTACCTGATGGACCCGAGCGGGAATGCTCACAAGTGGTGCAGAAAGATCCAGGAGGTGTGGCGGCACAGATACCAGAGCCCACCGGACGCTGCCGTGCAGTGAGCGCCTGCGTGCGCGCCAGGACCCGTGTCCCGTGTGGCCCGGCCGCCGCGGGGTGCTTCCAGACCACCTGCCGGCCACCTCCAGGGCGCCGACGGCGGGCCGGGCAGCTTTTTATTTAAAAGAAAAGAAAAAAAAAAAAAAAACCCAACCATACAAAGAACAAATCAACGCCGAAAGGAATTCAGGGCCGCTTTGCTTGTTCCCTCTGCCCTGCGGATGCCCGTGTCCCCGCCTGCGGGCCCTGCGCCCGCAGCCACAGCTCCCGTGTGCCGGGGCCCCTGGTCCGCTGTGGCCGGGGGTCAGATGTAGGCTCTTCCCACCCCGTGTCATCATGGAACTCTTCCGGGGTGCCCCCCTCGCGCTGGGAAGGGTGGGCTCTTAGCCTCTGGCCTTGGGCTCCTCCTCTCTGGTCCCTGAGTGATGGCCTGTCCCTGCCCCCACGGCCCCTTGTCCACCTCCCTATGTAGCTCTGGCTGCAGGATTCTGGCTCCCGCTGTGCACCTGTGCGGGCCTGTGCCTGTGCAGGCGCCAAGATGTGGACGTGCGTCATCCATGTGAAACTGGAGGGGCTGGCAGTGCGCCGTCACACCCCTCTGCGAACGTGGCATGTCGGGGGGCGGGCGCTGCCTGCCGTGGGCCATCAGCCGTCTCCCCAAGAGCCGAGCCGAGCATTGCGACCTGGCAGCCCCTCGGAGGGTGTGTGTGGAGGGTGCAAGGGCAGACCTCCCCGCTTGGTTACGTAGGGCGATGCATGTGGGTCAGGCCATGCCTGCAGGGCTGAGGCGGGGCAGCCCCCACTTGGCTCGGAGCCCTTGCGCACCTCCATGGGACCGTCTCAGCGCCTTCTGGGCTGCTGGGCACCTGGCCCCATCGGGACTCTGCCTGACTCGGGCTCAGGGCCTGCTGCCCTAACGGTCAGACTTCTCTCCTGCCCCTGTGGAGGCCATGGCGGCCGGGACTCAGCAGTCTTGTGTGCGTGGCGGCTGCTCCCCGGGCAGAGAGGTCCTGTTGGCTGCGCGGTTGGCCCTAGGGGAAGGCGAGGAGGTGGGAGGAGCACAGACCGAAGTGGTGTGCGCCACTGTCACCGAGCCCCGGAAGGACTCCTCCGGACAGGACAGCACGCCGCCGCGCTGGTGACTCATGGTCCTTGGGCCAGGACGGAGCCCTCAGGCTGGTGGGTGCAGAGTCCCTCTCGTGACCAGAGGCGGAAGAGCAGTGTGGCGCCCTCACCTTGCTCAGAGGGGGGGCCTGTGGGCTCGGCCAACACGGAGTGGGAGAGACGGCGCAGCCGGCCTGCTCGGGCGCCGAGGAACGCAGGACCCAGAGGGCTGCTGGGCGGATACTGGGTCAGCCCACTGCCCCGGGAGTGCGGTGCAGGCCAGGCCCTTGCCTCACACCTCGCTTCGGAAGTCTGGCCTGTGTTCATCTGCTTTTTTAAAAAGCGAGCCTTGCTTGGCCATTTCTTTCAGGAATTTCACTTCAGGCTCACTTCGTGCTGTGCCGCACCCTCCTCGAGCAGGCCGTGTCTGCGCGGTGCAGGCAGCGGGGTCAGCTGCCTGTGGTGCCCCCCCCACCCCGGCTGATGGCAGGAGATGGGTAGAACTGGCAGGGGCTGCAGCAGGGCACGCGCTGGGCTGCTGGGGTCACGACCCCCCCCGCCCCCCGGGCCGCACCACTACCTCCCGGCTTCACCGCCAAGCACCCGTCAGTCATCTCCAGAGCCAGAGGTGACAGGGCAGGGCTGAGCTTGCAGCCAATGGAGCCGACGTGACTGCCGTAGCTTAAGCCTGCAGCCACGGGCCCACTCTGGGAGACTGCTCCCCCAGAGCCCCCTCCTCGTGTGTCAGACTCTCGCCTGCACGCCTCGCCCTGTCCTCACGCCAGCTGTAGTTTAATGCTGCCCTTCCACGCCACTGTCCCACGTGCGGGCACCTTGCGTTCCAAGACGTGGACGTGGGTGTTGGTAACAGCCACAGACTCACGGGACCCCAAGGCTGGACCTGCACGTAGTGAGAGACCAACCCAGGCCTGCGTCTCCCTGGAGGCAAGGACGAGCGTCATTGCCCAGCCCCGCTCCCCCAGGTGGAGTCACCCCCTTGGTACAGACGAGGGAGGACAGCTGGGGGCCTGGCTGAGAGGACTGGCCTCGCTGGCTCAGGCAGCGCCAGCCTTGCCTCTGGGAGGGAAAGGAAAACAGGCTGCTGCTTTCCTGCTGCCTGTGCCCCCCCCCCCCAGTGCCACATGGTGAGCGCTGGCTGGGGGCTGGCTTTGGGGAACGTGGCCAGGGCTGGTAGGCACTGCTCGCGCTCCAGTCCTTAGGGCCACTCAGACCGACACTCCCGGTGTCGGCACAGGCTCTGGGAGAGTCTGGACTTGCTTAAAACCAAACTTTGTTTTCTGGAAGTCACTGGAGGTTCACCCCACCCCAGAGGAGGCCACTGCGAGCCTTGGGTGTTCAGCTACCACCTCTCAAAATTTGCTTTTTAAACTAAACTGGGAACATACAGCATCTGCCCCTTTGCATCCAGCTTTTTCCACTTGCTGTGTTAGCATTTGCCCATGTCATGCGTGGTGGTGCAAAAACATTGTTTTTAGTGATTATAGAGCTGAGTGGCCACGTGTTATCATTTACCTGATCATTTCCCTGTTGTAACATTTAGATGGTGTCTGGGTTTGCACTATTTAAATAATGCTGTGATCCTTACAAATCTTGATTTTTGACCTCTTCCCCACCCCCACTGATTCCCAGGAGTGGTATTTTTGGGTCAAAGAATTACTCATTTTAAAGGTGATGGTAGTCTGTGCCCAGAGCCCCAGTGCAGACGCTCTAGGCAGGCCCCGGGCCCCAGTGAGCATGAGTTCTGGTAAGCCATGTGTTCCAAAGGGTTGGATAAGACTGCCTTTTTTTTTTTTTTAATGCTAAAACGTCATTACTGCAATTCATTCATTTCCCCCAAAGCCTGTGTCCTTGTGTTCTGAAATCTGGAATCTGGTTATGCTCGCATGCCAGCTGACCCCCACCCGCTGCTCTGGCCATGTGCTTGGTGATGCTTCAGGGTCTCATGCTCTGTCCACAATGGTACTGACTTGGTGTCTGCACAGCCGGCAGAGAGGGAAAGGTGTTGAACTGACCTTGCCACATGCTTGGTGGGTGATTGTGATTCAGCTAGACTCAGAGCACAGGACCCGCTTAAAATCAGCAAGAGCGAAGGTTCTAGTGAAGGAGGAATCACCTGGTGGTTGGGTTTCACAGAAGTGCATTTGCCAGGTTGCTCTTAAAGGGGGGAGGGGGTGGTCAGTCAGCTCGGCTGGGTGTGCCGAGGCGGCTTTCCGCACTGCGGTGGTGTCAGGGCCTCTCCCCATCTGCACCCTGGCAGGCTGTTCGTTGTCTTCAAGGCCAAACTGCTGAAGTTTGATTTCATTCTTACTCCACTTTAGTCTGGGGTCTGTTAACTCTGAGGGGAAACATAGGAGCTGCGTCTGGGTGCTTGCTGTGTACACCAGGTCTTGGCCTTCCTAGTGTAGGAGGGCCCTCTTCCCTGGCTGGTCGGCGGGTGGAGGGTGCTTGCTGCCCGGGCTGCCGAGGCTGCGGTGGCGAGGCTCGTTCTCGCAGACGTTGCCCTCCACCTTCTCCGTGCTGTTTCTTTTCCTGCCCAAACCTGACCTGACGCTGGCCAGTGCCCTTCTGTCCTGGCAGGCCTCCTGCCCGTGGCCTCTGCGCCTCCAAGCGGCGGGCTGCCCTCCTGTGGAGAGCGGAGGCGGTGGAAGTGCTTCCTCGAAGCGTTCTGCAGCCCGGCCTGGTGGGCGGCTGCACGAGCCTTGGTGTATACCTGACTTTGCCCCGTAACTTGTCTTCATTAGGAAGAATCATCACACTTTATGTACAGAGAATTTTTACAAAATGCGAACCATTGTTAGCTGTGTAATGCATCCTGTCTAACCCTTCTGGCAAATTACGAGTAGGGGTCACTTGGCTGGACAAAAGCCTTTCATGAGCCTGAGTCTGATTGGACATGGCAAAGTTCAAGTTTGCAGTATTTAGACCTGCTGTATCTGTTCTTAACAACACAATATGAAGAGTGAGTAGGTAGCTGCCCTTCGGGCTGGAGGCAGGCAGTTAGGAAACGCGTGATACTCTCTACCTGGTCAGTAGCTGTAACTGTGATGTACAGGCAAAGCAAAAATTTAAAAAAACGTATTAAAACAAATAATGCAATGATATTAGGATATACATACACTTTTGTATTTTTATTCTTATATAAGGTTATTTGCTGGCTATCGTTGGCCTCTAGTTCAGTCTGTTATTTAAAATCTAATATATGAATTACTTGGATTGAATTCATGTCCGGGGCCACGTTGTATGTATTGATGTACAGCCTTGAATGTGAATAATTATTGTAAACTATATTTTACAACTTTTTTTCTGGCTTTATTATATAAATTTTCTATTTGGTCAATGATTTAATCATATAATTTAATGAACCTGTTTTGTTTTGTTTTTCAAATATTTGTGCTTCAGATGTAGTTACCGGATGATGAATTTTCCACGTATGCTCGATAGTCTTGTAATAAAAGCGCATGTAGAGTGTAGACGCTCCGGCCTGGCTCTCTCGGGGCGGGGGCGCCGCGGCGGGGGGGGCGGGGCGGACCCCGCCGCCGGAAGTGGGCACGGCCGGCCGCCTTTCCGGGCCGGAACTTCCGGCCCCCGCGTCACGCGGGGCGGGCGCCTTCCGGGGCAGGCCGGGGGCGGGCCGGGCCGGGGACGCTATTAAAGGCCGGACGCTTCCGGCGGCGCGGGCTGCGGCGGGGCTTGCTGGGATCATGGCGGAGAACCACTGCGAGCTGCTGCCGCCGGCGCCGGGCGGCCTCGGGGCGGGGCTGGGGGGCGGCCTGTGCCGCCGCTGCAGCGCGGGGCTCGGCGCCCTGGCCCAGCGCCCCGGCGGCGTGTCCAAGTGGGTCCGGCTGAACGTGGGCGGCACCTACTTCCTCACCACCCGGCAGACGCTGTGCCGGGACCCCAAGTCCTTCCTGTACCGGCTGTGCCAGGCCGACCCCGACCTGGACTCGGACAAGGTGAGGCCCGCGCGGGCCGCCGCCGCCCCGCCGCGCCGCGCCCCGCGCCGGGGAGGACGGGCCGGCGCCCCGGGCCCCCGCCCCAGGCCCCCGCGGCCCCGCGCCGCGGGCGTGTCCCCGGGCCCCGCCGTCGATCCACCTTCCGGCCCCCGCCCCCCGCGCGGCGAGCGAGCCCCTTCCTCCCCGCCGCGGGTGCGTGCGGGCCGCGGGGGGAGCCCGCGCCCCCCGCCCACATTCCGGACGCGGCCCGGACGCCGGCGGGGGTCGGACGCGTCTCCCCGTGACTTGCATCTGGACTTGGCGCTCCATTGTTCTCGGCCCGACGCGCACCCGCGCGCCGAGGGCCGGCCCGGGTGGCTCCTCGAGGGGGTGTCGCTCGGGTGAAGGGGTCGCCCAGGGGAGGCCAGGAGGGGCCGCCGGCACGTCACTGCCTGCCCGTGAGCCTCGTCTCCCTGCCGCCTCCACGCCGGCGGCAGCTCCAGGTCGGCTTGCAACTTGCCTTGGGTCAAAATCAATTCTCTGTCGTGCAGATGGTGACAAACTCTTAACTTTACGAGGCTCCAGTGAGGAGCCCTGCGGGCGCGCCGGGCGGCGGGGGCTGGGAGGGCCTGCGGGGAGTGTGGGTCCCTGTGCTTGTCCCAGGCAGCTCACCAGCCTGATTCTCACTTTCCTGGGGCCTCCAGGCCTAAGGCTCCCCAGATCCCTCTTCGAGTTCGGGGAGCCTGCCATGCCGTCGTGTGGCGTGGCCTTTTGATCAGGAAATAACTGGAGTCACCACAAAACCACCCGTCGTGGGTAGAAATCAGTGTGAGATGCCAGCGTGCGGCCCACGCCCCAGCCCTCAGCTGTCCCCGCCGCTCCTTGGAGGAAGCTGGGCGCGCGGAGACTCGGCCTCCCGGAGGGAAACAGGCTCTTGCTCGCCCTGCCTCTTCCTTTTCGCAGCCTGGGCGTGTTTCACAGTTGGTTTGTTTGTGTTTTTTTTTTTTTTTCAAAAGCCCTTCTCCGGGGTCCACTTGCAGTTTTACCCGTGGGATCCTGTCTTATGCTTCGAGTTGGCTTTTAAATTCTCTTGTCTGTGAGGTTTTGAGGCCGGGGCTGCCTCCCTGCGTCAGAGCCGGCCAGCTGTCGCCTGCACAGTTAAGTGGATGAGCCCCATTATTTCACTGTCTCTCAGGACTACTTTAAAAGTCAGGCTTTACTGGAATAGGAGCCCTTGGGGGAGCCACTTAACCCGTCAGAATATATCCATGTTGTTGCTTTTTTCACCACCACCGTCCACGTCACCACATTCGATTTCCAAGTTATAACCCGAAATTGAGAGACTGAAGGTACCACAGCAGATCCGTGTCTGGCGCTAGGCTAGTGGATAGTAGAGAACAGTGTGTTTTAGTCACAGACGCTGGTTTTGCTAGAGAGAGGAACGCGGATCCGCCTCAGTCATGGCGAGAACGCGTGTGAGGTGCTCTGTCTTCTCAGCCCCACTTGGCTCAGGTGAAAGAGCATCCCAGGGTTCACACTGTCGCTAACCACACACCGGGCGAGGCAGCGGGGCCGAGGGTGCCGGGAGAGGGGTGTTTGGAGGGTGGGATGCCAGGAATTACATGATGGAGGAGAAGCAGGATGTTGATTCACAGGTGAAGCATCTCCATGGCCTGACCTCATGGGTGGCCTGCACCAAAGCCTGCCTGAGCGGCGGGCCCGGCTGGCCAGGGGCTGAGGCCTGGGGCGGCTCCGGGCCCAGTGTGTGGCCAGCGTCTACTGAGCACCCGGCCTGGCAGAGATGGTGCCGACCGGGCTTGGGAGAGGCCCGACAGGCTTGGCGCAGCGAGAGCCCTGGAGCTGCTGCTGGCCGCAGGTATCTGGGGGCTCGGTCTGTGCCCGAGTGAGGGTAGAGGCTCAGGGTGTTTTCTGAGAGTCGAAAGACAAGCTGTTAGGGTGGCCGTGGGGAGGGCCGCTGAGCCCCAGGCTGTGCCCACGCCCCTCCTCCCCCACACCCTCCTGTTCCCTGTCTCACTCCCAGCCTGGCCTCGCACCCCTGTCTCCAGGACTGACCCCAGGCCTTACTGCCCGCCTTCGCCCTCTTCACCCCCTCCGGGGCTCCCTCTGCGCACCTGCTGGAAGCGGCTCCCCCGTCTCCCCTATTCCCTTAGGGGCAGGCCAGGGCGCTGTTCCCTCCCGGAAGTGCTTGGCAGATACTTGACCTGTGACTCACTCCTGTGTCTGTTTCGGGGTGCCTGCCCGTAGGTGCTGACCTGGAAGCAGGTCAGAGTTGCTTCACGCTGAATCAGGCCCTGCTTCTGTGTGGAAGCGCTCGCGGAGTTCAAGGGAGAAGGAAACGCATTGAAGAGGTTGTTCTCCCCAGGGGAGCTGTGGTTGCTCGTGAGCTTCGAGCTTCAGTCCTGACAGAGTCCTGGTCCTGCCCGGGTGCAGGCCGGTGGATCTGAGGGGTCACTGAGGGCGGGGCCGGCCCATGCTCCTGAAGACAGGCCACCTGTCATCCTCTGCCCGTGCTCGATTTGGGGGCACTCGGTGGGGGTGTCAGGGTGGGAGGGTGGAGGGCATTCCACAGGCAGGGCCGAAGGCAGCCTGCTCGCGTCGCCTGGCCGGGGAGCTGGGCTCACGGTGCAGCATCTCCAAGCAGCTAAGGCAGTGGCCAGGCTGGCCCCCCAAATCCTGCCGGCCTGTGCCCGATGGGAGTGTGTCCCAGGCCTGGGGTGACCGTGCGTGATGTGCTCAGGCCTTTCTCCCGTGGTCGCCCGGGGTGGGGCGGGCCTCCGCCAGTGGGGTGCCCGCTGCTCTGGATGCCCACCGTGAAGGCCCCGGGGGCCTCGGCCCCGTTCGCTCCGACCCCGCAGGGCAGGGGTTGGTCTGGGCAGCGGGCCAGGCCCCTGCCTGTCTTTGCAAACAGGATATTGGGGAGAGATGCCCACTCGCCCGCACCGGGACTCAGTGCTCAGCCCCCCCAGAGCTCTCCCGGCCAGCATTTCCCGGCGATGGTCTCGCACACGCTTGCCGGGAGCTGGCTCTGCGGGGCCGGGCCGGCCTGGAGGTGCTGCGCTCTGGGTGTGGGGTCGTCGCCCATGGAGTCAGACTGGGGCCCCGGGCCTGCCCTCCGCCCGCTCACCCAGCGTGTTGGCAGGCGAGGGCCCCTCCCTGAGCCCCAGGGCGGCGCCCGGGGCCCTCCCTGCCCACGGGCTGCTGCGGGGACGCGGCTGGGGGCGGCTGCGCCTGGTCAGTCTCCCCTGCGTGCCGTGTCTCGGGAAGGACCAGAGCCGGCCGTCCCGTGTGTCCGCGCCGCCCGGCTTCCCGGGCACCCCGGCTTCCGTGCGGAGACCCGCAGCCCCGAGCCTGGAGCCAGGCGCAGGCCTGCGGCCTCCCGGTCCTGCTGGGCTGAGCAGCCCTGGAGCTTGGCCTGGTTTTGCGAGTCAGGTGGCGGTGACAGGCCTGGAAGGTCGGGCCGGCTTTTGAAACAGGTGTGGGGGAGGCAAGGGGTGCGGCCGCCCTTTGCCCCCCAGGGGGCGGCCTGTGCGCCACCTTTGGGGCCAGAGCGGGCAGAGGGCAGCCCCGCCAGCCGGGTGGTGGCTGCTGCTCGGGGCGGGGGCTGGGTGTGCACCGCCCGCTCTCGCTCCTCTGCTGGGTCCGACCCCGAGACCGCGGTGCCCCGGCCGGGGACGTGCTCGGGAGGGCCCCGAGAGATGGGCAGGCGGCGCCTGTAGCGGAGAGGTCGCCCCGCGGCCGCGGCCCTGCCTGGACTCCCTCACCCCATGGCCGGCCCTGCTGGCGGGCCCCGCCTTTGGTGACTGAAGGACGTGTGTCCCCAGAGGAGCCCCAGAGCTGCTGCTCATGGGGGGGGGCCCTTCACGGTCCGAAGGGCGCCCTTCCCGGACATCCCGACTCTGCTTCTGAGCCCCTCGAATGGCGTCCGCCGGGGCTGGGAGGCCTCCTGGGTGGGGACCTGATGGCTGGGAGCCGCCAGCTCGGGCGCTTATGGCCGTGGGCGGGAGAGGCCCCCGGGGCTGGCCTGGTGCCCCGACAGCCTCGGGCCTCAGTGCCGTGTCAGGCCGCGGGTCTGGATCTGCAGAACCGGGAAACGCGGCGGTTCCGTGAGCCGGACGTCCTTTACGGTGGGTCATTTCGGAGTGAAAACCGTCCGGCTAGGAAGACGGCCAGTGCTAGCGCGGGGGATTCTGGGCTTTTGCCCTAAGCCCACGAGGCACCGCGAGCGGTTTTCTCTCGCCCAGCGGTGGGCGCCCGCACCCGGGAGCCGACGGGGTCTGGGGTGCTCGTGGCAGCTCTGCCCCCACCAGCAGGTGGGCGGGGGGCCCGGGGATCTGGGCGGGGTCCCCCAGGACAGCTGGCGGCATGGACTCGACGCCTTTGCCCACCCGGGAGTCTGGAGCCCAGCGGTGCCGGAGCCTCACGGGGGGCCAGGCGCCGCGGGGCGGGCCGCGGGAGGGCCAGCAGGGGCGGGGGGCGGGGACGCCAGCGAGCCGTCTCCATTCCAGCTTTTCACCAGAAACCAAACCCGGCCTCGCCGCTCTGAGATGTCCTGTAAGTCGCCGGGGGGCCGGGCCCGCCTTCTCGCTGCCACCTTGCGGCCCGGTGGCCTTGTCCCAGACACCCCAGGGACACCCAGATGCCGACTCTCGGCGCCCCTCTGCTGCCCCATAAGTGACCTAAGAGTCTTCGGAATCTTGGGGCTGGGTGTGTCTGTTCTGCCGGGACCTGCATTTCCCCCTGCCCGGACTCCAGCCCCTCCGGCACCGTGCCTCGCAGCGGCGGGCTCCGGCCGGCCCAAGGGCAGCCGCGTGTCTCCCGGGATGGACGGCTGCCCGCTCTGGGCGGTGCCCTCCCCAGTGCCCTCAGCCAGAACTCGCCGATCTCCGAGGGGCTGGTCGGGCGCTGCCAGGTGCCCCAGCGCGGCCCACGCGCAGGAAGCGCGTTCACGGAGAGGGGACAGCGGCTCGGGCGCCGCACGCAGGGCTGGAGGAGACGCCGGAGGGCTGGCGGTCGAGGGGTTGCAGCTCTGGACCGCCCCGCGGTGAGGGGCTTGGCCTGCAGCCCCGGCCTCGGTGCTGGCCAGCTCCTCTGGCGGCTGGGGGCTCAGCCTGCAGGGGCCGTGCTGTGAGCAGTGGAGCGCCCCGAAGCTGCACCTCTGTGTCCCCCTCTGTGGAGCAAGCTCTGGTGGTAGGCGAGCCTCGGTGGGGTCCTGAGGGGCCCCTCGATCTGCCGGCTCCCAGCAAGCATGGTCTTTCCTGGCTGTGCCTGGGCCCCAGAGGCCGCCGCTTTTGGGTGCTCCTGGACTGGGTGAAGCTGGGGGTCCCTGCACAGAGGCTGGCCTGCCCTTCCTGGGACGGCCAGGGGCAGGCCATTGCCCCTGAGCAGAAAAGGTGGCTCCTGTGTGGCCAGCCCCTGGGTGGAGTCCACGTTGCCAGGGTGCCTCGTTTCCCACGCCCAAGCAGGGCCTGAACTGGCCCTGAGCGCCGCGCCGCCGCGGGACGCCCTCTGCTTCAGCCCTGTCTGCAGGTGCAGGCCCAGCCCCAGCCCCTCCGGGGCCCGTGTTCCCTCGGTTCCCCTCTGCTGCCCGGCCCGGCCGTGGCCCCACCCAGCCGTCCAGCCTTGCAGACCGCGCCTCAGCCTGGGAGTTGCGCCCCAGAAATGACTTCCTCCTTCTCTGTGGGGTCCCAGCACCTGTGGGGTGACCTGCGCGTGTCCCAACGGAGGCCTCGTGGCGGCCCTGGGTCCTGAGGGCAGGCGAGCCCCACCGCTGACCTGCCCCCGCCTCAGCCAGGCTGGGCGTCTGCCGCTCGGTGCCCCCGCCGCGGTGTGAGCGTCCCGCTTGGGCGAGATCCCCACGGGGCGGCGGCCGCCGTTCCTTCCTGTCCAGGGAGTGGGCCCCTCTGTTGGCAGTGGGGACCCCTTCGCTCTGGCCTCGTGCTCCAGGCGCCCTCAGCCCGTTGGGGGAGGGCAGGGCTGTGGGACGCTGAGCCACACCTGGGCGCGGTGGGGTTGCCGCTGGAGCGAGAAGGCCTTGGGCCCGGAGGCTGGATGCCGGGGGACGCTCGGCAGTGCGCTCCGAGAACAGGCCTCCCGGCTTCGCGCCGGGGCTTTAGGGAAGAAACCCCTGAAAGCAGCGGTTTTCCCATAAAGGCGCGAACCGCGTGCTCAGGAAAGGAAAACTGGGCCCTAACCCTGCGCCCGGCGGAGGACACGGCGCCTGCCTCTGGCCTCCTTGGGGCTCACCGTGCCCCCCGCCTTCCAGGCCTCCTGGCTTGCTGCGCCCCGGTTCTCGCCAGCTGAGCCCCAGCAGCCACTTAACGGACAGGGAGGTGACTTTCTGGTCTCCGGAGGCCTTGGTGCCGATGCCCTGGGGCAGGGTTCCGGGGGCTGCAGGCGCCCACCCCGCCGTGTCCCCAGAGCGCCCTTCACAGCAGGCTCCTCCCGCTCCCCTCCGTGGGCAGGGCGCCTGCCGGCTGACCGGGTGCGTAGCCAGCTCAGCCCAGCGCGTGTGGTCAGGGCCGCGGGCCCTGCTCCCAGGCCTCTGTGCCTTGTCCTGCAGATCCGCGCGGGCTGGATCTGGGATGAACAGGCAGCCCCTCGGTTTCCTTCTCCCCAGTACCTCCTGGACCTGTAAGGAGACCCCTGTAGTCATCGCGCTTTAGAATACAACAGGTCATCTCGATATCAGACCCAGCTTGGGCCCCTTGGCCTGCAGGCGGGCTGGGGGCCGGGGGCGGGCCTGGCTCACACCCCTACCGACTCCCTGCAGCCAGCTGTCCCCCCTCCACAGGATGAAACGGGCGCCTACCTGATCGACAGAGACCCCACCTACTTCGGGCCTGTACTGAACTACCTGAGACACGGGAAGCTGGTCATCAACAAGGACCTCGCGGAGGAGGGTGAGCGTCCGGGCTGCGTGGGCCCACCTGCTCTGCAGATGCCCGGGGCGCCTGGCATTTGCCGCCGGTGGTGGGGGGTGGCCGGGCTGCCCCCACCCAGGAAGTGGACACTGTTAGAGCCAAGTTGACCGCCAGGACCCATGTAACGTAGGCCTCGGGGACAGTGGCCAGTCCGGGCCCCCACTGTCTGGTTAGGGATGCTGCTGGGTGAAGGATGGTCAGCCCCGGCGCCCTTGGGGCAACTCTGGCTCCCCAAGCTTCCCGTCACTCCCTGCTGGTGGCTGAGACTGACCAGCTCCCCCAGCCTGGACTTCCGTGTGCTCCTGCAGTCTGTGGGGCTGAACACTTTGAGCATCACCCCGGCTTGTTTGGGGGATTCCTGCTTCAGCCCCTCAGGCAGGCGCTTCTCCCAAAGCACCAGGCGCTCCTGACTCTGCCGGCCACCACGGATCTGAGGGGGCTCCGGGAGCGGGGCCTGCGTCCTGTCTCTGCACGACACCCTCGTAGCCCGAGAAGGGACCTTCCAGGTCCGCCATCCGTCCCCCGCCTCACACCACCGTGCGCAGCCAGGCGGGGGCCCCGCCGTGTGGAGGGAGGCCCAGCCAGCAGGAGGCTGCTCAGAGCCCTCTGGGATGTCCCTAGGGAATGTCGGGAGCACGGCCTCTTGGTCTGTTCTTTGGCATTTCCTGGGGGCCGGGGCGTCGGGATAGGGAGCATGACTTGGGCTTCCACCAGGAGGAGAGGCCAGAGGGGGCCTCCACCGGCCAGGCCCCACAGGGCAGGCGGGTCAGGCTGAGGGGCGGGTGCCCGTGCCCACCAGCTCGGGACAGGCACTCGCTGGGGAGGCACTGGGCCTCGGGCCTCTCGCCAGCGGGGCCTGGCAGGACTGGGGCTGCTGCCCAGCCTGCGTGCAGTGCCTCTGCGGGCGGGCGTGGACGGCGGCAGCGGTTACCCTGGTCCGGGCTGATCTGCTGGACATCAGTTATTTTTCCTATTCCAGGAGTGTTGGAGGAAGCAGAATTTTACAATATCACCTCGCTAATAAAACTTGTAAAGGACAAAATTAGAGAACGAGACAGCAAAACCACACAGGTGAGTGGCTGCGCTGCTGAGGCGTCCGGGCTGCGCCGGCGCCCCCTGCTGACCTGGGGCGGCCAACGCGGGCCCGGGCCACCAGCTGCTGCCTGCTGCCCCCAGCTGCCGCGGGGCCTTCCCCTTTCCAGTGCGAAGAGGCGAAGAATTCTGGGGAGACGGTCCGGTGTGGGGAGGGGGGCGGGGGAGGAGCTGGGGCTCCCTGGGGGAGGCAGCGTGTGGGAGGGCCCTTGGCACCTGGCTCGGCTAGGGGCCGGCCCTTCTCAGAAGGCAGGTGTGGTCAGTGATCTAGGCCTGGTGCCCTGCACCAAGCGCCCACCCATTAGTGCTGGGCATGGTCAGTGCTGCCTCAGCCACGCTGCTGCCCCACGGGCCGGGGAAGGAGAGTGGGAGCGGGCTGTGCCGGCGGCACCTTCCTCTGAGAGGTGCCGAAGGGCCTGAAGCAGGGCCTGAGGCAGCATCTGTTCCATTTGTAGCTCTGCTGCCTTGCCCGCCCTCCCCCAGGCTCACCTGCACCCAGCCCCCCCAGAGCGCCCAGGGGCTTGCTGGGGACCTGGCCACTGCCGATAGCTGAGCTGGGGGTGCCATGGTGCTGGGTGAGAGGCCAGGACCACTCCACCCCATCCTGCAGGCTCACCCCACAGCCTCAGGGTGGTTGGGAGGGAGCTGGGCCCAGGCTCCCCTCCCGGGAACCAAGCAGAAGACCCACCCGGCGCTGACGGCTCAGGCTGGGCTGCAGCGTCTCGACAGCCTGCGACCCGCGTCACTCCCTGGAGGCCAGTCAGCCTGCCTCCGTCCCGCCCTGTCTCCTGGTCGCCCCGACGGTGTCCCCAGGGCAGGTCCCTGGACGCCACCACAGCAGGGCAGGTGCTGGCGGCTGGGGGAGGCAGGCCACCTCCGGGAGGCTCGGGTGGGGCCGCCCGGCCTCTCGCGCCCATGGTGCCTCTTGTCACCCTGTGTCCGGGCCGAGCACAGGGGCCGCCAGACTGCGCTGGGGCGCGCCAGGGTGGCTCTGGGCAGCCTGGCTCCCAGGTGGGCGCGGCTCTCACCCGCGTGTCCTGCAGGTGCCCGTGAAGCACGTGTACCGCGTGCTGCAGTGCCAGGAGGAGGAGATCACGCATGTGGTGTCCACCCTGTCCGACGGCTGGAAGTTCGAGCAGGTGAGGCCGCGGCCGGGACCTGTGGCTGCCCGGGGTCCCCGGGGCCTCTCCACAAGGCCCGTGCGTGGGGCAGACGGCGCAGCCTCAGCCCCGGCTCCGTCGTCTCGCCGCTTCCTCCTCTTGCTCTGGCCGGGCTCAGTGGTGCTGCTCCCTGCATCCTGCCCTGCCTCCCCGCTCCGCCCTCTGCGCAGCGCGCCCACAGACTGCCCCTCGCGTGCCTGTGCTCAGCGTGTCCGCGGGGCGTCTGGCCCATCCACCGAGGGCCTGGGCTGGACCCGCAGGGCCGTGTCTGTGCCGCAGCTCCGGGCGGCCTGGGCTGTGGTCAGCGGGCTTCTCTCCACAGCTGGTCAGCATCGGCTCCTCCTACAACTACGGTAGCGAGGACCAGGCCGAGTTCCTGTGTGTGGTGTCCAAGGAGCTGCACAACGCCCCCTACGGCACGGCCAGCGAGCCCAGCGAGAAAGCCAAGGTGGGCGGCGGGCTCCCCTGCGGGCGGGCGTCCATCCAGACGCTTGGGCGCCTTCCTGTCCCTGGTGCTCCCAGACCCCAGCCCAGGCGTGGCCAAGGTCCCAGGCCCAGCCAGCTGGGGGCGCTTGGGGTCGCTGCCTGTCAGGTGGTAGGAGCACCCCCAGCTGGGGTGTCCTGGGTGGGGAGATGCTGCTGGGCCCTGGGCCTCCGTGGAGCGCTGACCCCTGCAGCCATGCCAGTGGGTCTCGATGCCCAGACGAAGCCAGGGAGGTGCCGGGGCGGGTGGGCTGCCGCCATGGGCGGGGTGGGGGGGCCTGTCTGTTGGACATCAGGCTGGGATGGAGAGTGGAGGGAGCTGGAGGGGTCTGGGGGTGCGCAAGCCGTGTCCCTCCCGCCAAAGCGAGGGTCTCGGCCTGCCGGTTGGGCTGGGCTGAGCTACCGCCCGGCTCCGGCTCTGGGGCCGGGTCATCTGCAGGCCGCCTCCCTCCTGGGGCCCCAGTCGTCATCCTCTGCATTTGGTGCTTTCAGATTTTGCAAGAACGGGGTTCACGGATGTGAGGACCGCAGTGCTGACGCTGGGAGAGACCTTTTCCTTTTCTAAGATGTGGCTGAGCCCGCTCGGCCGTGAGGAGAACCCTGCTTTTGACAATTTCTCTACAGATCGGGTGTACATCCTTTTTGCCTCTGAGGTGGGAGGTGAGAGGGACCAGCTGCCCGGGCCCACATCCCGGGAGGAGGCGGTTGCAGCAGGCGCGCCCCGGGGCTCCGCCGGTCTCTGCAGACCTGCGCGGCCTTCGGCGGGCGCCCACTGCCCGTCGTCCCTGGAGCTCTCACAGGACAGCGTTCTTGGTGCTAATGACCGCCTGCGACGCGGCCTGCCGGGGCGTCTGCTCCCCCGGCACGCGTCTGGCCTCCGCGGGCAGCTCCTGACAGGTGGCGCATCCACTACTTGTGGCCCAGACCTGACCGGCCTGCAGCCGTCAGGCTTCTCGCCCTGACCAGTGGCCTTGGTGTCCTTTGTCCCAGCGGGTGGCCTGTCTGCTGTTGTCGCCTAGAAACGCCTGGAAGTGTTCTGCGCTCGACGAATCTGTTAAATCATTAAAGAGGTGGGCGTCGCCGTGTCCCCGTGCCCGGGCTGCTGGGGAGCTGGCGCCGTGAGTGCCTTTGTCAGCCTGGGCTGGGGGCCGGCGGCGGCCTGTCCTGGGCCTCCAGAGCGTGGCCGCAGGGCAGCGCCCTTTCCCGCACGTCACGGGGGTCTCGCCTGCCACGTGTGTTTCTGTCCAACTATGCAGTCCCCTCTGGCGTGCGGGGGCCGAGACACCCGTGTGGGCTCCAGGCGCAGGCGGGGCCGCGCTTCTGCCCCTCGACCTTTGGGCCCGGAGCTGCATGCACTGACCCCTCTGCGGAGCGTCCACATCACATGCTTCCGGGAACGTCTGGCCTCTGCCCTCCTCTCCTTTGCCAATAACCTGAGTGACCGGCCCCCCAGCGCCCGGGCCGGCGCCACGGTCTGTCCCGGCGGCACCTCGCAAGGGGGCCCTGCGCCAGCCCGGGGCAGCTGCTGGCCAGTGTGGTGGGTGATGCCCCTGACACAATAGATCCATCAAGCTTTTTTTCCTTTACAATTTTTGGTTTTCATTAATTTAAGATTTCAAGATTTAATTCATTAAAATTTATTCTAAGGGGATATTTATACTTTTTATACTTTTTTAGGTATCTGTATTTTTCTCAACTTACAGTTTAAAACCTAATTTTCCCCTGAAAATTACAAATAAAACCTGTGTATTTATGAACAAGCGGAGAGCCGTGTCGTCCCGCGCGGAGGCGCAGTCTCCGGGGTGGGGCCGCCTGTCCCTACCCGAGGCCCGGCCTGGAGACTTGGCACCCCGGCGGCTGCTGGGCCCACAGGGGCTCCGCACACGGGTCTGCTCCCGGCCCGGGTGTCTCTGGCCCCAGGGTGTTGGCGTCAAGCGCGCGGGCTCCAGCTGCGCGTCTGTCCCGTTTCCACATGCGCCGCTAGCCTGGCCCGCGCTGGGGATCCTGGGGCAGCCTCTCAGGAACCCCAGGAACAGGAGCCGCCTGGGTGGGGCACACGAGGAAGGGCTCTAGATGCCGCTCCAGGAAATGTGTTCCAGGGCAAGCGGAGCGAGGCGTCTTCCAGCTGCCAGGAGCCGACAGCAGGCCTGGGCGAGCCTCGGGGCCTCTCTCTGCCACCCACGCAGGCTGTGCCCACCCAGCCGAGAACTGATCCTGACCTGAGCTCAAGGGCCCTCTGGCCAGATCTGCTGGGGAGGGGTGGGGGCGCGGCTCCAGGGTGACCCTGCTGCCCAGGAAGCCTGTGGGCTGGACAGGAGGGTGTGACCGCCAGTGTGGGCCCTGGGCCTCCTGCAAAGCCCGTGCCCAGAGTCTTCCAGGGCGCCACCCGGTGAACACGAGCCTCCCGTCCTCACTGCCCTCCCTGAAGTCGGCAGGGCGTCCCTGGCCCTGTGGTCTCCTGCCCGGGCCGTGTCCTGGCTCGAGCGCCGCCATGAGTCCAGGGTGCCAAGCAGTAGCACAGCCCCCAGGCCTGTGGCCAGGTGGGTGCCCACCGCTGGGTGTGGGAGACCTTGCCGCCCTGCCTTCTGAGCCGGCTCCGCGCGGCATCGACTGGCACTTGGCTGAGACCCTGGCGCCCACGCAGGTGCTCAGGCCAGGCGACTCCTGAGGGTCCCAGCCCAGCGGGTCCCCTTCCCGAGGCCCCACGGCTGCCTGACGCCCCACGCGTGCACTCCGCGTCCTTCCTGCACCCCATGAAGGGGGCCCAGCCCCCTCTCATTCCTGGGCAGGCCTGTTGCTGCTCCCTGCCTCCCGCGGCCTGCACCGCGCCCCCCACCCCCCACCAGGCCGGAGGCTGGAAGCGCCAGACGGGGTCTGGTCACAACCCGCCTGACCCTGACCCGCAAGCCGAGCGCTGCGGCCTCGGAAGCGAGCCCCTGCCTTAAGCCCAGCCTCCCGCGTCTCGCCCTCCTCACTGCCCGCCTGCCCTGGGCCTGGTCTGGCCGCTGCTCGGGAGCCCTGAGGTTGCGGGACCGGCCCCGCCGCCTGTGCTGGCCGCGGCCTGGAGCAGCCGCGGCAGGTGCGACAGTGCGGGGCGGGGCGGGGCGGGGCCGCGGGCCGAGCCGGCTGAGGTGAGCGCTCCTGGGAGCCGCCCCTCGTGGCCGCTGAGCCCCGGCTGCCTTTCAGGGGGCGCCACGCGGGGCGCGGGTGGGGAGGACCGGCTTGGGCAGGGCCAGGATGGAGGATCCCGCCGTTTCCCAGCCCGCTGCTGCTGGGGAAGTCTTGGGGCAACAGGCTGACGCCCCCTCCAGCCCTCCACCTCCGGGACGCCCCCTTCCCCCCCCCAGCTCGCGGGTCCTGCCCCGGTCTCGGCCCCACGGCGTCCGGGCCCCCACGGCCGGCCCGCCCCTGGCCCCAGCTGCCCCGGGCAGGCCCCCAGGTCGGGTCTGACGCGGGGGGACGTAAATGACAGCACCGGGCGAGGGGCGAGCACAGCGCTTTACAGGTGCACAGGGCGGGCGGCGAGCAGAGCCGCCAGCACCAGCGGGACGGCCCGAGCCTCCAGGCGGGGCGCGGCGCTCCGGCCCAGGGGGTGCCGGGCCTGGGGGCCTCGCTCCCGGCCGCCGGACCTCGCGGGCTGGAACTGCAGCTCCGGGACGATGCGGCGGATCCAGTGCTGGTGGGCGGTGACCCGGATGTAGACCCCTGGGCGGTTCCGGCGAGCGCAGCCCTCGCCCCAGCTGATCACCCCAGCCTGCAGCCAGGACGGGCCCACCAGGCACACCAGGGGGCCCCCGGAGTCGCCCTGTGGGCAGCAGAGGCCGTCAGAGGCCAGGGGCCAGCGCCTGCCTCTCGCAGACACAGGCCCCGCCGGCCCTTCTGCAGCCTCCCCAGACCACGCCGGTCACCGGGGGTGCAGTGCTGGGCCCGCCGGGGCGCTCCTGGCCGGGCGCGGGGCGTCGCCTTCCCAGCTGACAGTGCCCGCCAGGCCTGGCCGCTGCCCATGCGCTGAGGCCCCATCCCAGCGGGCCGGAGCCGGGCCTGCCCGCCCTACCTTGCAGGCGTCCCTCTTGCCCTCGGCGAAGCCAGCGCACAGCATGTCCTCCTGGATGGTCTTCGGCAGGAGGCCGGACTCTGCGTCTTGGCTGTAGAGCTGGTTGCATCTGGACGTGTCGATAATGGGCACCGCCAGCTTCTGCAGGACCCTGGGGTTGGGCAGCGGGTCTGGGGAGGGCGAAAGGCGGCAGCTCAGGGCCATTAGGTGAGGCCCCGCCCCGCCCGCCCCTGCTGGGTTCAGCTGCCCCGGCTCCAGCCCCGCGGGCAGGGCACTCGAGTACCGATGTCCGACCTGGCGCAGAGTGGCCCCAGGCTGCCCGGGCGTTCTCCAGCCCCGTCCCCCATAGCCTCCCGGCCCTGCTCCTTACCTTGCTCACCGGGGCTGCCCCAGCCGGCGACCCAGCAGCTCATGCCCGCCTCAAAGACCACCGAGGCGTCCGGCACACACACGGGGAGGATGTAGTGGGTGAAGGTCACGGGTGCCTCCAGCTCCACCAGGGCCACGTCGGCGCTCGACGCCATGCCCCGGTACAGGGGGTTGCTCTCCACCCGCCTCACGCGGGAGTACAGGGCGTGCGGCCCCGGCTCCGCCAGCTGCCGCGCGCCCAGCAGGACCCGGTACAGGGACGTGTCCGAGGTGCTGGGAAGGAGCAGGGGCTGGCGTGAGGCAGCCCCCAGAGCTTGAAGGCGGAGCTGGAGGCTGCCAGGCCCTCCCCGCCGGCCCCTCCCTGCCAGCTTGGCTGGCCTCGCGCACGCCCAGCAGCATTCGTGGCCGGCTGGCAACGCAGTGTCCGGTGAGCTGGCCGGGGCAGGAGCTGCCGCAGCCCCCCTCCTGACCATCTGCAGCCGGGGTGCCGGTCCGGGCAGGCCACCTGGCTCGCTGTCTGTGGGATGGGGCAGTGACCGCCCCTACCTGAAAGGCTGACTAGCTGTTGAGGGAGACGACCACCCACGGGCGCCCAGCCGGCCACAAATGGCCTGGGCAAGGGGCCTGCTCGCTCTCAGCCTGCGTCCAAGCTCCGGGCGTGGGTGTGGGTAGAAGGGGGAGCGCGGGGGGCGAGGGGAGAGCCAGCGGCTGGCGGTGGGTGGCCGGGCTGGGTGGCCTGGCTGTGCCCGGGGCTTCCAGGGTGACCCTAGACGCGGTGGGGCGGGAGGGAGCGGAAGCACAGTCCCGGCAGAGGGAGGCACGTCCTGGACGTGGGGGTGGGAGGGAGGACAGGGGAGCGAGCCCGGCCTGCCAAAGCGCCTCCCTGGAGGCCAGGTGCGGGTCCGGCCCTGTCGGGGCGCGGGAGGCGGCCTGGAGGGGGGCCGGGCGCTGTCCGCGGTGCTGAAAAGACGGCGCGGGGCGGGCGCGGGGCGCAGGGGAGGGAGGCGCGGGCGCGGGGGCCGCCCCCACTCACTCGGAGAAGCAGTGCGCGGCCGTGAGGACCCACCGCTCCGCGACGAGGCTGCCCCCGCAGAAGTGGCTCCCGTTGCGCTGGATGCTGACCTGCCACGGCCACTCTCCCTCCACGGCGTCCTGCCCGCCCACCATCCGGCTCAGCATCCTGGGGCGCCCGCAGACTAGGGGGACGGGCCGAGCGCTCCGTGGGGCACCGCCGCCTCCCCACCCAGCCCTGCACCCAGCCCCCCCCCCCCCCCCCCGCCGCGCAGGCCGGCCCTGCTCCTGACCCGGGGCCGCGGGGAGCCTCTGCCACGGCGGAGCCCTCGGGCGGGGGTGACGTCAGGTCACCCCGTGGGCCCGCGGGGAGAGGGCAGCTGGCGAGGCCCGGGCCAGGGGCTCCCAGCGGGCGCGGGGGGTCGCGCTCGGCGTGGCTGACCCTGAGGGCGTCGCTGCTGCGGCAGGAGTCTCCGCGCCGACCCTGGCTCCTCCCGCCACCGCTTCCTGCGCCCCGGGGCCTGCTGTGTGGCCCCTCAGCTGCGTGGCCCCTGCTGCCGCCCTCCTGCCTGGGTCCACGGCCCCCACTTTCAGCTCCCCCGTGCCCTGCTCACTCGTGCTGGGTTTCCTGTGGGGGTGTGTGGTGTGTGGTGTGTGTGTTGTTTGTGTGTGCGCGTGTGCCCCCGGCAGGAGGCCGCTGCTGCTCCTCACCCGGGCCTCGGGCCTTACCTCTCGAGGCTTCAGACCCCCGGCTTCCTGCAGGGGAGGAAAGGGCTGTCAGTGACTCTGGCCCGCCCCGTGCCCCCCACCAGCGCCCCCTCAGCTCTGCAGACCGCAGGGCGGCCGGGCGGGGCGGGGCATGGGGCGGGCTGTGACGGGCCATCAGCACGCAGTGGGGCTGGGACCCGGGTGGCAGCGGTGGGGCACCTATGTGGGGCTGCTGGGCCAGGAGGGTGCGACCCCGCCTGCGGTGAGGACCCCGCGGGGCGCCCGTCTGGAAGCCCCGGGGAGACTGGGGCCCCGCGCCTGGAGGGAGAAAGGCCGAGGCTGGAGCCGGGGCTGGAGCTGCTGTGGCCCCGTCAGCGTCCTGAGATTCAGACTCCGAGGGGACCCCTGTGTGGTCAGCGCCAGCACCCCGGCAGGGCACGGCGTCCCTGCTGTTCTGGGGGCCCACCTCCCAGTGTGCACCCCCACACCTCCACCTCGAGGAGCCTCTGTAGCTCGGAGACCCCAGCCAGGGCCAGCAGCACTTGGGTGCCTGTCCGTGGGGAGAGACCCCCCCCCACAGTGCCTGCCTCTGTGGGGGTAGGGCTGGCCAAGCCGGGGGCCCAGGACAGCCACCTCTCCCCACCTTCAGGAGGACTCAGGGTGGGGCTGCTCCCCCCTTCACACTGGGCCAGGAGGGAGAACCAGCCCCGGGGGCAGGGAGTGGGAGGCTGAGCCACACGTCTCCCTGGGGGGCCAGAGGACCCTGGGGACCCCCTTTCTTCTGCCAGACTTGCATTCTGGGTGTCCACTCCCGATGCCAAGTGGAGGGCCCTGGGTGGGTGCGTGATGACCGCAGGGGAAGGGCGGGACAGCGGTGGGTGGGGCACGAGAGGGAGGTGGACACCGGAGACCGGCCGCCTTTCCGAGCAGGGGGCAGGTGAGTCAGCCCCGCGGCCCGGGGAGCAGGAAGTCGGCCTGGCCATCCCCGCGCTGGCGGGTGCGACCCAGGCGGGCCTTGGAAGGGCCGGTCTCCGGGGCCGCCGCCAGCCCTTCCTGGCTGGACACGTGCTCACTCGGTGGTGAGAAGCTGCGCTGGCCTGGCCCAGGTGTCTGCCCAAGCAGGCTCCCCACCCGTCCACCCGAGCGTGCCGTCCACCCTGTCCTGCCCTCTGGGAATGTTCCAGAACCTTGTCTCAGTTCTCCCCAGAGCCTTCCCCTCCCATCCCAGCAGATGAACTGATTCGTTCAATCCTGAGACCAGGTGTGGCACAGCTGGACCCCTGGAGCCTTGAGGCTTCCTCCCGCCTGAGCTTCCCGGGGCATCTGACTGGGACTGAGCCCTCCAGCCTGGGCCTCCAGTGCCTGCTCACAACACACCTGCCTGGAAGCCCTTTCCTGTCCTGACAAGTCCAAATGCTGTCTTAATGTTAATCGAAAGGCCGCCTCCTCCAGGCAGCCCTCGATGTTTGTGCTCTCTTGGAAGCCTCGCTTCCTCTCCTGAGTGCTCTGGCTGCAGGCGCCCTGCCCACCTCTCCCTGGAGGTAGAATCTCCTCACCTCCCCTACAGGCCCAGGAGCTCCAGGAAAGACCCAGGGCTTGTGCAGAGGGACCCTTGAGGGTGGCCATGGAGACAGGGCTGACAAGGGAGGGGCAGTTGGAGCTCTGGGCTCTGTAAGGCGGGGCCTGTTGGGGGCTAGGCACGGCCCCTTGTCTGGGCCCCGGGCCCCCAGTCCCCTGCAGCTGGTTGGGGCTCTGCAGCTGGGGGAGCCCAAGGTGGGGTGGACGGCGCCCAGGCCCTGCTCAGAGCCGTCTGAACCCGATGCAGGCTGCAGTCTCCGCGTTGGCACTGCCCCCAATTAGTCAACCCGTGGGGCAGCCAGCCTCTGCCCCAGCCGAGGTGGGCCCCCCCAAGAGGCTTTTTCTGCTGGTTCCAGGAGGCCAGGAGGGGCCCCCCAGAGGCGCCCCCAGGAGCCCTCCTCCCCTGGAGCCCTGCTGAGCGGTGGCCTGGGGTGACCTGGCCCAGCCCTGGGAGGTGAGCCCAGGACAGGGAGGTGAGCTGGCGGCCTGGCCGGCTGGGCTGGCCCAGGAATGCGGAGGGTGCCCTGGGAGGGAGCAGCTGGCCCGGCAGGGAGGTGCCTGGCCGGTGTGGCCGCTGCTGGCCCTGCCCCAGGATCAGGAGATGGGATGGGGGGGGTCAGCTTGCTTCCCCCAACCCCCCTCGATGGTGGGAGCAAGAGCCGGCAGCCTGGGCCCCGGGCCCCACTCCCCACGAGCCCCACAGGGCTCCCGGGCGCGGGCTGGGCTGCCGGTGCCCCACGGGTGCGCCAGTGGCTCCGAGCCTGAGTCCCGCACACAGGCAGCCCGTGTTGGGGGGCCGGGGGCAGCAGGTCACGGGCAGCCAGGCCCAGGGCCGGGCGCAGTGATCACCCGACGGCAGGACGGGAGCAAACCCCGGGCCATCGCCGCCTCCCGTCCCTTGGGCCTGTCCCTCACCACCCTCAAGGCCCCCCTTCGCTCCCCCAGGTGGGGCATCTGGAATCTTACCTCCAGCCAGGAGGCCCCGCTGCTGTGGCGGGAAGGGGACGCCTGCCCCGCATCCCCGGGGAGCCAGGCGGGGGGGCCCGCCCCGGGGTCGGCCACCCGGCCCCGCGGCACCTGGACTCACCGGCGCTCAGCAGCAGCAGGAGCAGCGCCGGGCCCGGCGGCCCCCGCATGGTCTCGGCGGGGCTGGGGCTGGGGCCAGACCGCGGCGGGAGGCTCCGAGCAGCAGCGCCGGGTGCCGGCTCCATGAAGTGGGGTTTTATGCCCGCGGTGAGTGTCAGCCCTGCTATGCGGCCGGACCTGTCCTCCCGGCCAGCCCGGCTCCTTCCAGCAGGAAGGAGGTGCCCCAGAACCCCGGCTCCTCCGTGCCCTGGCCCTGAACCCCCTGAACCTGCAGTCTGGACCCTACCCGGACACACGTTGGGGTCTTGGTGCCAGAGGTGCCATTTGGGAGCCGGTGGCCTAGGGGTGTGCTCCCCAACTGACCACAGGCCCCGCCGACGGCTGGTGCCTCCTGGGGTCCTGCGGGGCCCTCCCTGGGCCACTGGTCCGCATTTCCTGAGCGCCTGCTGGGCACGGCCAGCGGGTCCGGGGGCTTTTGCCCGAGCTGTGCTGATGGAACCACCGGGGAGGAACTGGGCTGTGGGGTGGGGGTCCCCAGAGAGCCCCAGCGCGCTTCGGGGGCCCCCTCCAGGCGAGGTAGAGCCGCCCCCAGGGTGCGGCCGGGCGGGGCCGGGGGCGGGAGCAGCGCCCGGAGGGCGCGGGGAGTCCGACCCCCCTCGCACCCCCCCCCGCGCCCCCCCTCCCCCCGCGCGGCCGCGGCGGGGGAGGAAACTGTTTGGGGCGCGGGGCCGGCGTCAGGGCGGGACTCGGGGCTCGCGCGCCCGACCCCCCAGGCTGCCTGCGGGCGAGAGGCCTGCGGGGCGGGCGGGGCGCTGCCTCGGGCCCCCCCTGCGCCGGTGCGCGAGCTCTGGGGTGCCCCGCTGCGCCCCGGTGGGGGCCGGGCCCTTGAGCCGCGGGGTCGCCCCGGTCACCCCGGTCCTGGACCTGGGCCGGCCGCGCCGCTCGGGCGACGCCGCCCTCTGCTGGCCGCCCCCGCCCTCGCCCGCCCCCTTCAGCCCGTGTCCCTGCTCTGCCCCCCACCCCGTGCCCGGCCTGCACCCCGCTCTTGTGTGCATAAATAAATCCATCTTTCAAAGAAGAAAGGAAGAGGGACCAAGGAGCCGATGTGGCTGCGGCCTCCGCAGCGAGTCCTGCGCTCCCCGTTTCATTCTGAACCGAGGAAAACGACTTTCCGTTGCCTTTTGCTGTAGAAATGTTACTGGAGAAGTTGGGGAAACTGTATAAGACCCTCAGGCTGCAGAACCGCGTCGCTTGAGCTTCCTGCTGGCCACCATCGTGACTGGGCAGCGAACGTCCTTCAGGTTCAGGAGGCGCCCGTGACCCGGCGGCGCCCGCAGCTGCCCCTGCCGCTGCCCCTGCCGCTGCCCCTGCCGCTGCCCCTGCCGCTGCCCCTGCCGCTGCCCCTGCCGCGGGGCCGGGGAAAGTGGTGGTGGGGGGGGCGGTTCCTATATATTTTTCTTGCAATTTTACTTATAAGTTTGAAATTATTTCAGCAGTTTTACAAAACTGGAATGCATGCGTGTTCCAAATGGCTTGTCAGGAAACGTGCTAGTATGTCACCGAGTTCCCTACATTTACATCCAAGAAGTGAAAACACATGTTCTTACACGCGCCAGAGCGACGTTTCCCGTTAAAGGAAAGGTTCGCTGTAAGTTGAACCACGTCGATGACTCGTTAACAAGAAGCCAACACGGGATTGCTGGTAGGCAACTTAAAATGTTAACATGCAGCGTCCAGTTCCACTCACGCGCTCGGTCAAGGAGACCCTTCAGAAACATTAGGCTGCTTTACTATTTTGAGCTAAAATAAGAGATTAACTTCTTTATCATTTTATTTGTAATTTTTTAAAAGATGTATTTATTTATGCATACAAGAGCTGGGGTGCAAGCCAGGGGTGCAGGGGCTAAGAGGACCCACCAGAGACAGAGCGGGGAGCAGAACAGGTGGATTGACTGAAACACACTGCTGAGGGGAGCAGCGGGGAGACGGGAGGGGTCTGCTGCGCCATGTGGGTAGCCCCCTGGCCGGGGATGGAACTCGTGCTGCAGAGGCTGCTGACAGCCTCATAGGCTGCATGTCAACCTCTTGTGCCACCAGGGAGGCCCCCTAATTTTAGCACCTTCTTAATGTTAGCAAAATAGCCAGTTTATGCAAGTCTTGGGTTAACTTTCTCACTTGTTTTATCTCACCATTCTCTCATTTATTTAAACGTGCTCCACTCGTTTAACTTATCAGCTAAAATCCATGTCTATGATGTTTCAGTTGTGATGTTACATGTTCAATGAAATGAACGTATAGCGGTCTTGATTTTAAAAGGACTGTGTCACAACGCTGCAAATCCTAAGTATTTTAGTGGCTCAGATGAAACTACAGCTTTCAGCTCCTCCGCTGACTGAAGGCCTCAGTCTAACCTCTACATTATTTAACGAACGGGCAGGCTGCGTGCAGGGCAGTCTCTCAGGAGACGCCACAGCACCCTTGCGCTTCAGACATTTCTTTTTTTTTTTTTTTTAATAGAGGCATGCTTTTATTTATTTGTTTGTTTGTTTTTGTTTATACACGCACTGGGTACAGTCAGAAGCGCGGGAGGGTGAGAGAATTCACCAGAGCCAGAGCGGGGAGCAGAGCAGGCAAAGAACCGAAGCACACCGCTGAGGGGAGCGCGCTTCAGACATTTCTAACCATGACGGCGCTCCTCGCTGTGCTGCAGCGTGAGGTGACCTTCCGCGGGGGGGGGCCGTGCTCCCCAGGCCCAGGCTCGCGCCGGCCCGGCTGTCACCCCGCGGCCCGCTTCCCGCTAGAACTCCTGGCTGTGGGCCGAGCCCAGGACCCGCCGCCACCAGCCTGCCTGGAGGAGGCGGGCGTGACCGCACCCCACTCTCTCGGTATTTGGGTACCGGCTGCACGTTTAGGGTCCTCCAGGCCGGCCGGTGGAGCTGTGTCGGCTCCTGTCAAGACCTTCTTAGGAGACACCCTGCGCCCAGAGGCTCGTGCTCGCGCTCAGAACGGGGCTTCCAGGGCCGGCCGGGCGTGGGCGTTGGGTTCTCAGAAGGGGCCACACAGGAAAATAAAGCCCTTTTCCACCTCCTCAGGACACCCCCACCTCAATCTGTTCTTGCTTGAACTGGTGTGGATGGCAGGCCCCGCCGCCCCGGCCACCCGCGGGCCGCACAGCTGAGGCCACCGACAGTCTCCGGCCCAGAGCGTTCCCACCTGCTGACCTGGAACCCCCGTGGTAGGCAGATGTGGGGGCGCCGGCGCCACCGAAAGCCAGTGACAGCGCCGGAACCGAACTGCCCATCTGCAAGAGGGGGCAGCGCCCCGCAGAAACCGCCTTCTCGTTTCATTTCCAGCTTTTCATAGTGAGTCACACAAAGACCGGGGCCCAGCGTGAGGCGCCCGCCCCGCCGCCCCTCCCCGGCCGTGGTCAGCCAGGGCTGGACTGTGATGGCGCCGCGAAGCCCCAGCCCCGGCGTGTCCTCAGGCTGGAAAATCGTCGGGACGCAGGGCCCGGTGGTGCGGCTTTACCGCAGGGTGTGCTCCCCGCCCCGCAGCCTCCCTGCCCGAGCCTGGCGCCCATTTTCTGCCTGTGCGTGTCACCGTGCCAGGACCTGAGACGTGGCCCCCCAGCCCGGGTCCCTTTGGTCTGGCTTTATTTCGCTGAGCGTGGGGCCCTCCAAGTCCCCCGGGCTGGGGCTGTGACCACCGGCAAGACAAAGGCCGAGGGCCTCCCCGGTGGCGCAGCGGTTGAGCGCTGGGTTGCGAAGCTGCCCGCAGCCTCTGCAGTGCCGGTTCGATCCCCGGCTGCTCCCCGACCACCAGAGGAGGGTCCCACATGGCGCGCAGACCTCTCCTGCCGCCCGCTGCTCCCCTCAGCAGTGTCCTTCGGTCCTTCTGCCTGCTCTGCTCCCCGCTCTGGCTCTGGTGAATTCTCTCACCCTCCCGCGCTTCTGACTGTACCCAGTGCTTGTATAAATAAAACAAACAAATAAATAAATAAAAATAAAATAAAAAAGACAAAGGCCGAGCCGTCGGGAAGTCTTTTCACGAAGGAGTTTATTGCAAGAGGCGAGCACCACGGGGTCGGCGGGCCCCGAGTATACTGGGGGCAGGAGGGGAGCCGGGGCGCAGTGGAGGGAGGACTCCACGGTCGTGAGGAGGCAGCGGGCGGACCCGGCCCACGTGCGGAGGCTCCCGGGGGACCGCAGGCGCCGCCGTGTGAGCAGCCTCCAGGGCGGAGAGGACTTTGTCAGCTGTAACGCCATGAGCCGTCAGGGTTCCTGGGGTGCAGCTGGGGAGTGAACCACAGCTGGGGGATGGTGGGGGCCGGGAGGACAAGAGGTGCGGAGGATTTCAGTCTACTCGGCCCTGCTTTCTAAACAACATGTCTAAGCTGCGGTTTGGGGGGTTTCCTTTTCATGGCTGCATCGTATTCCGTCTGCAGGACGGACAGGCCGTGTCTGTCCATGCCCGGTCCGGGGATATGTGACCCCCTCGCCTTGTGGGGGGCTATGAATGACGCGGCCGTGGACACGGCTCTGCACACGCGTGGACGAGCATGGCGAGACCCTGACGTCACTTCTTTCGTGAATGTAACCAAAGGCGAGTTGTTGGATCGAATGGCAATTGTTTTAAGGAAATGCCACACGATTTCCAAATAAAAAATGTAAAAGGGAGTTGATGACCCGTTAGCGGAGACCAGCACCAGCCACCCGGGCACCAACACCGAGGTCCGGTGGGAAGAAAATGCCCCACGGGCGATGCTACTGTAGCAAACTAACACAACAGGTAGGAAAAAAATCGCTTCACAAAGTGAAACTGAATTGATTAAAGTGAAACTCATCAAATGAATTCGCTTTAAACTCACTAGGCTGACCGGATTCACGCTCACGGAATGAAACTCTCCGGCCTGCATGGCCTCCGAAGCTCTGGGGAAGGAGAACAAACGAATGCTATTGGGACTCAGTGTGGTGTGTGAACCCCACAGGGGGACCCCGCAACGCGTGCTGGCCGGGGGAGCTGGCCCAGGGCCTGCCATGACGCGTGAAAT